TCTTAGCATGGTAATGGAGGCTGTGCGCCTCCCGGTCCTGATCACTGGCAAACTCGCCATCCACGCGATCAGGCCGTGGTATCTTCTTCCGTATCCAATTAAGGTCCTCTCGCCACTCCCGAAGACCCCGCCAGCGTTTACTTCTATTTTTCTCGTGGTAGAGCATCCAGTCAACTCGCTCGTCCTCTTTCATGTGTCGCCAGATTTGCAATCGACACCAGAAAACCCATTCCTTGCGGTATGGGTCTTTGATGTCGTACGCATCCTCCTCGAGACGGAGATACTGGAGGATCAGGGGCAGGTTCTGAGCATCGATCTTTTTAAGCCATAGCCTCTGGTTGCGTGCCGGGATCCAGTCCTTCCAGCGTCCACTTTTCACCTTTTTGCGCCACTCCAATTCCTCTTTGCGCCACAGGATCCGCTCCTTGCTCAGAGTTTCCTCTTCCTCTTCCAGCGTCTCCCGAGATCGTTCTGGTAGCTCAAGGTGTGCATGCTGGATGAGGCGGGGTGTGTTGAGCAGCCCCACTTCTCTTAACGCATGCCAATGACCCGTTTCCCTCCCTTCGCCACGTAAGTGGGGCGGTAATCTAGGGGGAGTTCCGTCCAAAGACGGGTTGTCTTCTAAAAATTGACGTCGTTGGGTCCGTCTTTTGTATTCAATCTCTCTCCATTGGACGTCTTCCTCCAAAAGCGTTTTGATCAGAGCCATGTCTGGCGATGTTTCCTTGGCCATTCCGGCAGGTACCGGGATGAGATCATACGGCGATGGAACGACAGAATTGGTGCCCGTATCGACATGGGCATTGGTCTCCTTCCCAGTTGTCTCTGATGAAGATTCAGTTTTAACCAGCCCTTGCTCGTCAAGTCCAGGTTCCATCACAGCCTTAATAGGGCTAGACTCGACGACGTGTTGAGCTTCATTCAATATCTGTCCGAATCCACCTTGGGGGTCGTGTATATTTCCCATGGCAATTATGGTCAAGGGAGCAGACAGGAGTATGGAGTTAACCTCTTCGCCGGCATCCAAAACCGAGCGTGCTCTGGCATCGACTAGCGCAGCAGCCAGGCGAACCATTGTGTCGTAAGATGGTTGCATGTGGTCGGGTTCAAGCTTTGACCAAGCGTAACTTTCGCCGTGGCCCATATGGTCAGGCCGGCGGGAGAAATAGTGGTCTCTGCTTTCCTGGAGAGCAAATGTGGAAGGTGTATGGCTGGGCCGTGCGGTCGATCTCGCCCTTACCTGTTTCCACCCGGTGTAATTAGGAATGAACAGTTTTTCAAAGAGAATAAAAGCATTGAGTCGGTCTTCTCGTCGGGAGGAAACAGCTAGCAGTTCAATATAGAATGACCAGTTATGAGTCGTCAAGGCGAAGCCAGCCTTTTGAACTTGCGATATGACAACTGCGATTTTAGAGTGGAGATTCTGCTCTGCGTAACATTCCATAAGTACTGAAAGACATTCAGAGAGAGAGAAACGTTGAGTAGTTGACATGGAGCCCGTAGTGATATGTTTGGGGTCGTCGGGGTCGTCGGCGCGGTTGGGAGTAAAAGAGGCTGTTACGGCAGTTCCGCGTTTGGCTTGATCAAATGCTCTGCTCCAGAGCTTCTCCACCATATCGAACCCTCTATCTCTCATTTGGAGCTTCATTCTTTGAGCCAACTGACTAAGGGGCACAATATTCGGGTTATCGATAAGGCGGTTTTGCTTTTTCTCCAGTTTCTCGGCCAATTCCTTAGCCCTAGTGGATGCATCGTAACCTCTATAGGCGGAAATGAGTTCCTCGTAATACGCCGAAGGAAACGCATCGCGTACAGACTTCTGATTTGCCCCAGGCTGTGGAGCCTTCGTAGCCCACTCCCTGATTCCGAAATCTTTCATAATCGAAGCTAGGAACTCTTCTGCATTCACCAGTCGAATTTCGTTATTATGCCCAACATAATTCCCTTCCTCGATCAGCCTCTTGTCCATATGAATTTTCCCCTTGAGAACAGACAGTCTCGAGCTGAGATTCAAATGGCCGAATTTTTTCATGATTTCATTCTGGGTGTGCTCAATCATTTCTAGGTCGCCGATTAAAGCATAACCGTACAGAAGGATAGAATAGTGTAATTGGGTCACGGACACTTGGTGGAGGTTTTCAAGTCTTCGAATAACACGAATAGCATCGTCATGGTTTCCAGTGCGAACAAGCGCCAGAATGGTGGCTGCATAGGTCATATGGTCGAACTTCACTCCTAGTTTTCTCATTCGATCATGCACTGCTAGCATGGAATCTAGGTCAGGCAGGAAAGCGTAGTGCCACAGAATAACATTCCACATGCGCGTAGTAGGGCCGGGAGCTTGCAGTTTCATCACAGAATCAGCGAACTGCTCTGCAGCGGCGTATTTTCTGTTGTTACAGAGCGTCTCGACCACTGGATGGAGCATTGCCATGTTGAGTTGAATATCATATCCCTTCGCGACCTGCAAGAAATCCATGACACTTTCCACGCTTCCATCCTTCGCAAACAATCCCATTAATATACCAAGTGTATGCGAATCTGGCTTTAATCCTGCGTCAATCATTTCCTGATAAGTTGATAGGGCGCCCTGCTTGTCGCGGGCTTTCGCATGGGCAGTCAGGACAATATTCCAGCTCGTCACGTCAGGACTCAGTGAGAACTCGCTGCGGAGCCTTTCTAGCTGCTTCCTGGCTTGGTAGACCTTGCCGACTGCTGCATTAACGTGTATGAGAGGGTTAACCAAATTAAGCTTCCTGGGTTGGCCGTAGTGGCCCACATAGGAGTTAAATAAACTAGTCACTCTCCGAAAATCTCCAAGTCTGGAAAATCCCGTGAGAGCAATTTGATATGCCTCCTCTGACGGCTTTTCATAGAATAATCGAAACTCTCTGAGAAGCTGGTTAGTAGCCTCTGGCTTCCGCAGTACTGCTACAACCTTCAAAAGTCCAGCGAGAACCTTCTCAGGTGGCTTAGTCGTATCCATTAATAAACGGAAGTGCCAATAAACTTGGAGTGCGCGGGTGGTTTTCAATTCGATATCTAGATATCGTAGCGTTGACAAGGCCCAGAAGTAATGTTGACTCTCAAGTAACCGAACGGCGTTAAGGCTGTAGAACAATAATAGAATTTGTTCAATGGGGGTTTGCCGCAGTATCGTTTTCTTCTTGATGACCAAGTGGACTAGAAAGCCTACCAGTGGAGTAGCTTCCAAAAGGTCCAACTTTTTCTCTCGTAACAATTCAAGTAAACTTAAGACTCTCTCGGGCAAGCTGAGCATGTTTGATAACTCGTGGAATTTGATTCGTTTGAAGGGCTGGCTTTCCGGGAGAGAGGGTTTGAAAGAGAAAAATTGGAATGCCTCCTTCCACTTCATCTGGTCCACCAGCGCAACCATGGCAATGTCCCAACACTTTTCTCCTTTGAGTTTTAACACCGCCTCCTTACATATATCCCTTACCAAGTCGATATTCCCGTCGCATTGAATAAGAGATTTTGTCACGTGGCCATAGTCATCGGGAGTTCTCTGTTCAATCTCAATGGCTTCAAATGCAAGTCTCGAACAGATTCGATCTAAAGGCTCCCGGGATTCCGAAAGATACGCAAGGACGCGTGAATGGTACTCTGGCTTTTGGTCCTTGACAACATGATACAATTTCCATACAGAGCGATAGTTCAGTGGAGAATCTCCGCTCAGATATCGATCAAGCCGCCGAAGAAGATTAGGATGTATCTCTATCTCCCCATCCTTACCGACTCGCGGCCGTTTTTTGATTTTTGCCCCGCGGGGGAGAATCGTGCGGAAGCCCTTAGTTTTCCGAGAACGTTCCAAACCCAGTTGCTTCATCCGAAATCGTGACATCGTCTCACGCTGGAGCCGATAAAAGTTGCAATAGGCCAACCCGAACCTCACAAAGGGCAACAATGGAGACGCCCGGCGTTTAGGAAGAATAATTGGTTTCTTGGCGCTTTTGTAGAGGTCATAGTACTCAAATGCATCCTCTCGTTCTACCAGCGACTCTCCTAGATTTTCCGACGCTTCAAAATCCAGTTCCTCTTGAACTTGAGGTACAGCCTCCTTGTTGTGCGGCAGGGGTTCGGCAATTTCACCAGAATTCGTTGAATAAGGTCGACTGCCCAATCTTCTCCTACAATCGATGGAGTTTTTGATGATGTGAGGAAGACAATATCGTGCAAATACTTGTGTTTCCGGCGGGTACAAGAATTCCAAGTGGGTATTCTGAAGGTGGTTATGAGGTAGGGTGAAAGGCTCCGCGGCAGCTGGTAAATGTCGAGCGGTGGACGGGGAAGATCGCGGTGGCTGCATGTAATCGAAGCTCCACAAGGGAGCCTCGATGTCAGCAACGCCATGATGCCAGAATTCCGGATGCAAAACACGTCGGCTGCGAGCGTGGCGTTTCGAATGGCGGAAAAGGCATTCTCCTGCGTTTTCAAGGCGCTGAGCAGCTCGCTCCAGCATCCCCTAGACCAGAGCTGGTTATATAAAGAAAATGGATTTTCACTGTCTATAAACGGAAACGCATATCGCAGATGGCTACGCCAGGAAGGTTAGTGCACCAGCTTTAGTAAATGTTTAATTGCCTAGCAATATAATATTCAACGAAATTTATGGCTTCAGAATCGAAAACAAAAAATTAAGCAGCAACTTACTCGGGATTGAGAGCAAATTCAAGTTACTATCCTCGACATCGACAGGCGCAGAAAAGCTCGGGAGGAACCACTGAAAAACGCGCGCAAAAGATTTGAAAGGAGCAGTTACGCTACAGTTCAGTATGGGTACAAATATCGAACGCTGTAGCTCCAATGGTGTAGGCCGGATGCTTGACGTTTGATTGCAGCTGCCTGCCAATGCGGATTCTAGTTGTTCGTCCCGTCCGGAGGTATGTATCGTAGTAGTCGTCTTGTTTGTGGACGGAAACAAATGTGTTTTTTTTGGTGGTTGAGACCAATTCGATGTTTCCGCGGGCCACAGGTTTCTCCGGCGCCGACCACACAAGCGGCCATCATCGAATTGCCCTCAACCTCACCGCTATCAGCGTCATTTTTCAACCGCGAGTGGAGTGGGGATCAGGCGTGGGCTGCTTTTGTTTCTTTAATACTGCGACGCTTCTATCCCTGGTTGCAGCCATGGATATCACCAGCTTTATCGTCAGCCACAGAGAAGACGCTCTCTTGGCTGGGGACTACAACTCGTACCGAGCACAGTTGTCCCGCAGATTACACACCTTACGGAAGAAGCTGGGACAGACAACCCCGCGGGGTAAAAAGTACTCTCCGAAGCCTACAATAACAGCAGAGAATATCGCCAAGGACACTAGGTATGCTCCTGATGAATATACCCTTCATTGCTCTATGAAAAAGAAAAAAGAAAGATCTCCTGCTGACAGCCAACTAGCTTCGCATTTCTTATCCTCCTCAGCGCGGAGCGAGCATGGGCTACCGCAATGCATATGAAGTCGACTCACTCCGCAGACCCATCTACCAAGGGCATCGTCGGTTCGGCAAGACGACATATAATATCGCGTCTAAATAAAGCGACGATTTATGCAAGGCAGCTAGTCTCGGTCCTTCAAGATCCATCAGCGGCTTCCGCATCTAACATCGACCTCCTCGAGGCACGGGGTTATCTGGCTTCCCTCCTTGGAGCGTTCTGGATGGAAAAGAAAAGATGGGATTTGTGTTCACAGCAATATTCGCTTGCAAAAGTAATCTACGGCGCGCTTAGCACTAAAGCGAAAAGGGAAGCGTATCGGGACCTTTTGTCCACCACGATCGACCCTGGGCTTCGGTATGCAGCTTACCAGTTAAAGCTTCCCAGGTCCGCAGCTCTAGAATCCATCGCGATCAAAAACATACCATCCGATTCGGTAGTCCGCGGGGAGCTAACCGCGATCGACCCAGATTGCCTCTCGGAGCGGGGTTCAGATAAACAGACGGCCGCTGACGGCGGCGCTATTGAGGATATCCCACAGAGCATTACTTGGAGATCCCGGACAGTTGTGTTGGAAGATGCGGCTATATCACAGGCACTAGCAGCTGCGTCTCTAGCGGAGTCCCACCTAGCTTCGTGGCTATCAAGCCCCGCTGGCCAATCATCCTCGCAGAGTGAAAAGGCAGCGAATTACGATAATGTGATAATTGCTAGTCAGGACGCAGTAGATGCGACCAAGACTGCTATTGATGAGCTTTCTGCGGAGGGGATTGATCAGGGAGACAAACGCATGCAAGCACTGCAGGTCACCTGGACGGCCGTGAACTATGCCTTGGTGGGCTGGCGCGTGGGTCGCAATCGGATGCTGTGTGGCGCTGACGATGGTCTCAGTTTCGAACGGGAGCAAGTGAAGGGATCAGGTGGGAAGCAAAAGTCTGGAAGTAGTGGTAAGAGTGTCGGCCGCCGACTCGCGCGGTTGCGCGAACGCACCGCATTGTATGATGCGACCCTTCAGAGCTTGGATTTCATCCGGGAGCTGCCTGGTGTCGCAGGAGATGCCAACTTCATGGAAGAGCTCAATGCAAAACACAATTATTTCCAATCACTACGGTATTTACTCCTAACTCCCCCCCCCCCCCCCTTTAAAGCCAAAAAAAATAAACCCCATATTCCGATAGTTGGTTGGTAGACCTATATGTTAACACCAATATCAAAACAGATGCCTAGCAGTCGGCCGAGCGCACTCCTTCCTCTCCAACCCAAAGAATGCCCTCGCTCTCTTCTCTCGCGCGCTAGACCTCGCCTCCACGGCTCTCCCACCAAACACCACCCACAACCAACAAGACCAAGAGCAACAACCAAACCTAAGCCCACCACGCCTCGACGTCTCCAGTCCTCAGGTCACCGCCCTCCGCACCCACCTCCAAAGCCTCGTCTGGCAATACCGCGGCATCGTCGAGATCGAACGCATCTCCTCCCAACTCAATCATTCGTCCCCGTCATCGCTCCAACTACCGCCCATGATCGAGCGTCTGGACGAGTACCCGGCATCAGACAGCCATGTGGATCTGACACGCCTAGTGACATATCCGCCGAAGATGGAGCCGATACCTGTTAAGCCGCTGTTTCTGGACGTGGCATTCAATTACATCGATTATCCGCGGGAGCCTAAGAGGGGACTTCCTCCCGGTGCTGGTGCGGATGGAGATGTCACTATGCAGGATGGTCAGACATCGGACGCGAAGAAGCCGGCTAAAAAGGGGTGGTTTGGGTTTGGGCGATGATTTTTGTATTGTTTTTGTTTTTGTTTTCGTTTTCGTTTTCGTTGTATATGCTCCTTTGTCCTATCTGAACGACGTCGAATCGGTATGGGATTGAACTGGTTGATTGATCTCCAGATAGATGCGCAGTGGGATTACATTGTAGTGTAGTTAGGTTACAAGCGTACATGGCTGCTACATAGCTTGTATCTAGCGATAACAAAGTTTGGGCATTCTTTCTTGCTTTCCTTCTATATATCTATATATATCTATACATATTATATAGTCGATAGAATCAACCAATCCACGGATAATCATTCAGCCAAACCAATGAAACCATCATCCACTTTCTCTTCGCGCAACCTTGAAGAACAACCTTGGGAAACATCTAGATTCCACCTGGCCAATCCGTTAGAATCAAACTCAAATCCCTACATATGAGTCGAACCTCATTATTGAGAAATAGCAGCCAGCACCGACCCACACCAGTAAATGGCCATCAAATGAAGGCTAACTCATCAGACTCAATAGCAACATCTTCTTGCACCGAAAAAATCACTTATTATTAATGACATCATTGCTTCTATGTTGAGATTTGATATCAGATGAATATATATATCCTCACTCAGCTCACTTCTTATACAATACATAAAAATAAAAAAAATAAAAAAATAAAAAAAAACCTCACAAAGTAACTGTACTGGACAAGAAAGGGGCTTGTTAGAAACCGAGGGAAGATTTCGTGTGCAAGTTGCAAAAAATCCGCCTATTTAGATTGATGATACAAGGCATCGGCCAACAAGTGCGACGAACCGTCCTGGTGGTAAGCGACTCTGATAGTTATATAGGTTTCGCTGAAGATGAGACCGCATTACGCAGCGTATAACTATCTAAATATCGACGCCGCAAATCGCAATAGCATCGACGAATTCTGAAGTCGGACGAGGAGGGTTACACCTTTTTTTTGCCGCTGTGGGCGTTGAGGTATTAATTAATATTGCGTGCTCATAAACTCCCCCCCCATCTGTCCAAAATAATAATATCTATGGAAAGGCTTCTCTTTCCTTCTCGCTGACCACAACTAATAAATTTATTATATATGGTGTTGAGAGGGCATAGTTTCAATGTTGCTAAAATTCTTACACAGTATTTGGATCAAGAGTGTTGACTAGTTGACTGTATTTATGTTTGAATTCATGTTGTGTTATAATCCGTAGTTAACTACAGTTTGTTGAGACTGCTGTCAAGTCATCATCATGAGTGAGTGATCTGCTTTTCACTCAGGTTTGAGCTGAATTGTCAGTCATGGCATAGTTATATAACTACATAACTACATATAATAGAATAATAGAGCCTGCCAAAAGGTCTGATCCCTAGTCACTATCTCTTATATGTAATGTACTGTACATGTATGGAGTAGTTAATCTAATGTAAGGAGCAATACACTCATGCAGTAACAAGTAGCATCACAGAATGATACACAAAAAAACAACCTTGTTTAGGTAGTTACTGTAACTATGTATAACAATCTAGATGCCTAGAGAAGTTATAGATGCCCCTGCATAAGAATATATGGTGAAATATGATTTCTAGCATGATGAATCTCCAACAAGTCAAGCAGATGCACTATTCTATTCTCCATGAGGGACCCCCCCCCCCTCCTGAGAGTCTCTATTCCTATTCTCTTATAATTAATTAAAAGAAGAGATATGGGATGGATGGCAATCAATACTAATACTCAAATGCCATTATCAGTTATCAGTATTTCAGTTATTTCAGCTTAAATTATTCTTTAAAAGTTAGCCCAGCCATCCCCTTCGTTTCTCTCCCACCGGCTGCCGCTCGGAACATCAAGATGCCGAATCACGCGGTTTTTCCCATTGTTATCACTATTATTCTTCTTATTTTTTGTATTCCTGGGGCGCGCGCCGGCCCGCGTTAGCTTAATTTAGAATCCAGCAAAAAAAAAAAAAAATAAAAAAATATATGAAAATATGAAAATAATTAAAAATAATTAAAATAATAAAAAAAGAAGAACCACTAGATAAAAGAGAGTTTGTCACCGGCTGCTGGCCACTGGTTCCAACCAACTGCACTGGTCATCGGCGAGATATGATATTGGGGCGCGGGCTGGCTTTGCAGGGTTTGGTGTTTGTTGGGGGCTGACAGCCATCGAACCATTCGACCCATCGAACAAGTCAAGAAGCTTTTGCCGCCAGGTACCAGGGCTTCTTGATTGGATTTATGATTGCTTTTAGAGTAAACTAGGGGGGGGGTTATTGTATGTACGCTGAGTATGTGTGTTATTATGTATGTACAGCGTATGTATGTATGTATGTATGTATGTAGGTGCTGCTGTGGGATAAATTCAATTCCCGCCAAAAGCAATATTTTATCATTTGTTCCGCCATACTCCGTATAGATTTTATATATTTGGGAAGACTGGAGGGTACTTTCAAGATTGAGGAAATAAATAATGGATAAATAAGTCTACATAACGCTGGGAAGGGGAATAATGTTGCGAATAATGTTGCGATCTTCTTTCTCCTGCTACCCGCATTATTTACCACAAGGGAATTCATAACTACCAACAGGGATTGCATTTGCACCCAACTCCCCGCTTCCTCCCGCTTAGTCATGTAGATTCCTGGCTGGTGATTGGTTCATTGGGCATCCATGCTTCCTTCCCCTATTACTCGATGTCTCGATCGGGAAGAAGTGAGCCGTTTTAGCGTGTTTCGTGACCGTATTTTATTCTGACGTTCCGTTGCTTGCGTAATTAATTCACTCATCGTGAACCAATAATGAATGATGATTCTTCCTCCTCCTCCTCCTCCTCCTCCTCCTCCTCATCTTCTTCTTCTTCTTCTTCTTCTTCTTCTTCATTTCTTTCTCCATTTCTTCCTTTCTCCCTTTCTCCTTCTTCCTTCTCGCTTCAATCATCATCCATCCCCCCTTTGTTATATATCTTTAATATCTCCCGCCTCCCTCTTCCACCTCGTTCTTGTATAGCTGCTCTTGTACGTAGTAGCACATGGAACTGTCCTGATTGGCCGTCTCATCGATACCTGCCACTCAGAGACATAGACAGACAGACAGACAGACAGACAGAGAGAGAGAGAGAGAGAGAGAGAGAGAGAGAGAGAGAGAGAGAGAGAAATAGATAGATAGAGGAGAATCGAGGAAATATCCACCTCCTGCAATCTCCCCTTTTTTCTCCTCGCGTCCTCCCTCCCCTTCCGTTAACGCTCGACTCCTCCCAACATCTGTATCCCTTTTTTTGATCAGAGCTGCTCAAACCAAGCCCTCTCTCTTCAATTGGCCATGGCGACCGTCAATGAGACGTTTGCCTCGCCCGTGGCTGATGCCGGCCTGGCTTCCTCAATCACCCAGGATCCCGCTGGCTTGTTGATGTCCATCTACAATGGCATGACCGTCTGGTCCGCCCTCTTCACCATCTTCCTCCTCCTCGTCACCTACGATCAAGGTATGCTATTCCCATTCCCATTCCCATTCCCATTACTATTACTATCATCATCATCATCATCATCATCATCATCATAATCATCATAATCATCATCATGGAAGACAACGCTAACAGTTACCCTCCAACGCTGCACAGTGAAATACATCTGGCTCAAGGGATCCATTGAAGGCCCCAGGTTCAAAATCCCCTTCATGGGCCCCTTCCTCCAGTCCGTCAATCCAAAGTTCCTCGAGTACCAGGCGAAATGGGCTAGCGGTGAATTGAGCTGTGTCTCCGTTTTCCACAAGTATGCTCTTTACCCCATCCCTCTTTTTTATGACGATATATTGGTAGTTCAACTGTGCTGAACAATCTGCGCGCCCCGTTGTTTCGCGCGTTTCCCCTGTAGGTTCGTCGTCATTGCTTCGACCCGTGATATGTCCCGTAAGGTTTTCAATTCGCCAGCATATGTGAAACCATGCGTTGTCGATGTTGCGCACAAACTTCTTGGCAAGGATAACTGGGTGTTTTTGGATGGCAAAGAGCACGTAGAATATCGCAAGGGCTTGAACGGCCTTTTCACCAGAGCGGCCCTGACCAACTACATGCCCCAGCTGGAAGATGTCTATGATAGATTCTACAACATGTTCGTCCAAAAATCCGAGGAGCTCGAGATGAAGCCGGAGCCGTGGATGCCGCATTTCCGTGAATTGATGACCGCATTGTCCTGCCGCACGTTCGTGGGCCATTACATGTCTGATGAGGCCGTCAAGAACATCGCAGACGACTACTACCTAATCACCGCTGCCCTCGAGTTGGTCAACTTCCCCATCATCATCCCCTTCACCAAGACATGGTACGGAAAGAAATCGTCAGACATGGTCCTGCGCGAATTCTCAAAATGCGCTGCCAAGAGTAAAATTCGCATGGCCAAGGGCGAGAAAGTAACCTGCATCATGGACGCCTGGGTCAAGAATATGCTGGACTCCGCCGCCTACCGCGAGAAGATCGCCAAGGGCGTGCCCGTGAACGATTCAGATAAACCAGCCCATCTCCTCCGTGACTTCACCGATTATGAAATCGCCCAGACCATCTTCACCTTCCTGTTCGCTTCACAGGATGCCACCAGTAGCGCGTCCACTTGGCTCTTCCAACTCATGGCTGACCGGCCCGAAATCCTCGACAAAGTCCGCGAAGAGAACCTGAGACTCAGAGGCGGCGACCGTAATGTCCCCATCAGCATGGAGCTGCTGGATCAGATGACCTACACTCGCGCAGTTGTCAGAGAAACCCTCCGCTACCGCCCACCAGTAATCATGGTTCCCTACATGGTCAAGAAGGACTTCCCCGTCACCCCCACCTACACTCTACCCAAGGGCTCCATGATCATCCCCTCCGTGTGGCCCGCCACTCATGACCCAGAGGCCTACCCGGACCCGGACTCATTCAAACCAGAGCGATGGCTGAACGGTGAAGCGGATAAGGCCGCAAAGAACTTCCTCGTCTTCGGCACAGGCCCGCATTATTGTCTGGGTCAAACATATGCCCAACTTAATCTGATGGCTATGATTGGTAAGGCTAGTATGTTTCTCGATTGGGACCATCATATCACTCCTGTATCGGAGGATATTCGGGTGTTTGCTACGATTTTCCCGCAGGTAAGTTAAATTATATGTCTTCTTTGCTTAGAGGTATATCAAAGATAAAAGCTAACCCTTTTAAACAACACCAGGATGACTGCCCCCTCGTTTTCCGCCGCAGACCGGAATAGATGAGCTTCTTTTTCTCTCTTTTCTGTCTTTTTTCATTACTTGAATTCGGAAGTTTCTCTCCCTCTCAATACCTTTTTAACGCATCCGTCCATCTCTCTCCGCTTTTCCCCGTCCAAAGATGGGCAAACTTTATACCCATGAAAGTTCCCAATATGTCGACTAAAAAAGAAAATAAAATACGAAAATACAAGGACGAGGCCCCGGGATGAAAATCAAATCAAATCAGATAAACAACATTGACGAATGAAAACAAACACAAACAATAAATATTGACAGGTCATGAAACAAACGGAAACCTACCCAGGTAGGTAGGTAGCGTTGGATATGAGGGGGAAAACAAAGGAGTTGGAGTGGAGTGGAGAGGAGAAAGAGGATCTGATTTGGGGCGAAGAGCAAGGTGGGGGACTTGAGAATGAACACAAATGGAATTACCAATGCTTCTTTTATACTAATTTTTAATCACTAAATTCAACTCTTTTTTTTTTCCCTTCTATCTGTTGGGGGTCCCGCGGTTGATCGGCCCTTCTACCAGCAGTGCGCTGGTGGTGATTGAGCTCTTTTGCCCCAGTAGCCTACAGGTTATGAGACCGTTGAGCGTGAGCCCCGCTGTGGTCAACATGCATGGGTTCAATCCCAGAATGGACTTAAAAATTCCTAACAAATACCCTGGACATTTTAACAGTGCCAAGAGACATCCCAGGAGTGTGCCCTAGAAGTCCCGTGAGCCCTAGGACTGACTGAGTCCATTATTAAAAAGGAGCCATTGTGGGGAGGCCACTGAAGAGAGCCACTGAGGGGAAGTACTGTACTCTGTGGTAGCTGGTCCGAGGGGGGGTGTTGGGGGTCCCGCGGTTGGTCGGCCCTTCTACCAGCAGTGCGCTGGTGGTGATTGAGCTCTTTTGCCCCAGTAGCCTACACTATCTATGATGCAGAGTAAGCAAGACTAAGCAAGATGAGAGAACAGAGTGATTTGTCTCATCTCTATAAAGTATATGTACTCTTGATTGATTGTTTTTATGTTTTATATTTCTGTTTCTTATTACTGCATCTGCATTCAATCTATTATGAATGCATATATTAATATAATATTTCATTAACTTATATTATACTGTGTATGTTTGTCATTCTCTCATGCATCATTATATGAATATATTATTTTATTTTCTCACTTCTTTTCTTATTAAAACAGATACATCCTGCAGCAGAACTTAGTCTGAATGCATATTCAATTTAGTAGATGAACATAAGACTCCTTGAGTGAGCTATGGAAAAAAAGGGGAGTTAACTTAGTTAACAAAGTTATGTCCTTCCGCTGACATCATCCCGCAATCGCAATCGCCGAAACCCTGAGCTGAGGGTTTTATTTTTCGTTCGCCGAACAAGAACAAGAACCCCCCCCCCCCCAAAAAAAAAAACAGTTAAATCGATCATCACTCATCCCGCCGACTCCAATTGTTTTTTTGTATACCCTCCATTTACCCCCCTAACATTAACCCCCATATATATTATATATATATATATATATATATATCTGTATATCTACTACACTACTCCAGAAAACGACACCTTTCAGCCCACAATACAATGTCCGCCGCCGCCGCCGCCGTTCCCCGGCTACCCTGCCAGCTACTACGGATACGGACGCGTACGGGTGTGGTGGGAGCTTCTTCACGGATAATAGCTGCTGGGCATGGGGTTGCTCGAGGACAGGCGGCGCAGGTGCCGGTGCAGCGGTGCCGGAGTGGTGGCTTGAACAATGCTGCTGGTGTAGGTGTTGGTGTTGGTGTTGGTGTTGGTGTTGGGCCCTGTGCGGGTGTGCGGTGGTTTTCTTCTGGGGGTGTTTGGAGGCAGGATACGTCTGGGGATGCGAGTGGGAATGGGGAGCAGAAAAAAGAGATGGAGTTTAAGACGTATGGGTTTGAGGAGGTATGTATTTATTTTTTAACGGAAGCGTGTGCAATGAATGGGCATGTAACTGTTTGTTTTTAGCTGAAATTTGACCCCGGTTGACGGTTCCGGTTCCGGTTCTATAAAATCCATTCGTCTCCTCCTCCGGGAGGGGGATCCAACTACCAACTAACAAACACCCCCATGAAAATAGATAACCGCCTCCCTCCCCACCAGCTCCAGCAGCTCCAGCTCCAGCTCCAGCTCCAGCCCCCCCTCCCCAATCCTAATCGACGTCCGCGAACCCGCCGAACTCACCTCGACCGGCATAATCCCCACAGCCCACCACATCCCCATCCGCACACACCCAGACGCCTTCTTCCTTCCCCCCGACGAATTCCTCACCCGCTTCGGCTTCGCGAAGCCCGAGGCTGATACGCCACCACCATCCCCATCCCCATCCCCATCCTCTTCTTCTTCAACAGCAACAACAGCAACACCAACGAAGCAGAAACCCGACATCGTCTTCTACTGCAAGGCGGGCGTGCGTGCGCGGTCGATGGCGATGCTGGCGGCGCAGGCGGGGTATGATCAAGGACGGTTGGGGGTGTATTATGGGAGTTGGTTGGATTGGGAGAAGAGGGGGGGTCCGGTGGAGAGGTGGGAGGGGAAGGGAGAGGGGGAGGGATAGAGGGAGGGAGGGAGGGAGGGGGGTTTTCTTAGGGTGATTAGATGGTAATGGATTTATAAAGGATTGATTGAAAAGAGGAAAGGAAGGAGGAGAGGGGAAGGAGTTGGTTGGGTGGGGGGGAGGGGGGAGGGGGGGGGATGGCTTTTGTTCTATTTGGCTGGATACGGAAGTAGAAATGAAATTGCGCATGCTGTGTAGGAATGATTCAAGCAAAGCTGAAAGAGTACAGTCTGTTTCTTGGAGAGAATATTTTTTCTTCTGTTTTTTTGTTTTCTCACTATGAATGATTCACCATTTCCATCATTGCTTCAATTGAAGAGGAGAGAGTTCATGTATTATTGCTAATTGCCAATTAATTAAGTTTGCTAGTGTCGCCCTGCGCTTATCATCTCTTTCAATCATTATTTTTTGTTTTTTTCAATCATTATTTTTTGTTTTTTTCAATCATTTTGTGTTGTAGATACATAACATCAAAGAAGATTTAGCTGCCGTTTCCCAATCCACGTATGAATGAAGTGGCTGTTGGAGACTTGAAAAAAAAAAAAAAAAAAAAGAAAAGAAAAGAAAAAAAAGGAGCCATTGAAGTAGAGAAAGAGAGAGAGAGAGAAAATGGGAGTGAACAAGAGGGGAGAGGGGAAAGTAAAATAAAATGGTTTTTGATATAAAGAAATCAACATGACAGGCTTTTTTTCTTTTCAGAACCAGGTTTAAGTTACATTAAAAAGGAAAGCAGACAAAAAAGATCAGATATGATAAACGCATCGCCGTCTTTATGAAGGAACCAAACCAGATCAAAGCACAAGAGAGCAAGAGAGAGAGAAAATTGTAAAAACGTAAAAAGTCCTCATTCTTAAAAGACATGGGGTGAAAAAAAAAGAATATATATATAAAATAAAAAACGAAATCAAGGGATATCGAACAACGGCTTCAACTTCTTGATAAGCACCCATTCATCCATCGAAACATCAGCTCGATAGAACTCCTTGAGCGTATCAATGCTAGGCCGCGAGATGAGAGAATAGAGCGTGTCTTTCTCCTCGAGCTGGCGCCCGTAGAGCGGTTGGTTGGGGCCCTCGATTTTCACGGCCACGGACGGTTGGCCCTTCTTGCAGAGAGGGATCTGCTTGTGTTCGCGCTCGATGGATTGACTATTGGCACAAAAAAAAATATGTTAGCTTATTTTGTGATTTTAAAGGCTATTATTTTTTGAGGTGTTGCTTGTTTTTGTATATAGGGGCGACGGGGGTATGTATGACTTACACTCGGCCTAGACTAATAATCTCCTTCACGCCAGTGACTGGGTTGGTCTTGACGGCAGCGATGGGTGTGAGGAGGCGCAACGAGCCCTCGACGACATCCACACCGATGACGATGGGGTCCTTCTTGTTGAACACAGCAACGGTATTGAGGACGCAGGGGAACACGGCGAGTAGTTTGCTCTCCTCCTTCTTCTGCTCGGCGATCTGCTCCATGTGTTTGGTGAAATCGTCGAAGAGATGGTAGATGATGTCAGCAGTGAAGATCTTGATCCCGACTTCGTCAGCGTATGCTTGCGCCTCTTTGTCAACTTTAACGTCGAAACAAAGCATGATGGCGAACTGTCTGGCTTTCTCTAACATAGTACCTGCGCGCATGACGTCGCGTTTGTAGACGGGGCCGATGGAGATGTTTGCGACGGGGATCTTGGAGACGCGGAGGAACTCGAGCAGCGCTTCGAGGGAACCGAGGGTGGAGGCCTGCACGCTGACGCCGCGGTTGTCCTTAGAAACCTTGCTGAGTAGATTCTCCAGATCGGACATGACTTCATCTTCAAGGTCTTCCTCGTCATCGTTCGGTCCAACGACGAGTAGTCGGGAACCAGCAATAGCATGTTCAAGATCGTTGGCCGCAATCTTAACACCAAGCGCTGCTTTGACTTCCTTGTTATGTACGTATTGCGACTTGAGACGCAGTTCCTTAAGTGGTGCCGGTGTTAGTAGTGCGCGGATGTTCGTCGCTATGGGTCCGTTTAGACCACACATTACAATGCGATCACCCTCGCGCAGCACACCGTTTGACAAGACAACGTCGATGGTTGTACCAAGGCCCTCGATCACTTTAACTTCCAGAACAGTACACTCAACCTCAGTAAGGTACATGAGTTGTTTGGTCATGCGCTCCTGTGTGAGGGCAACGAGCAACTTGAGCATATCGGGAACACCTTCGCCGGTATGCGCGGAGGTAGGAACGAGAGACACGTTACGAGCCATGGACTTATTCTCCCAGTACAATTCGGAGTTAAACCCTTGTTCGGCGAACGCGAGCTTGGTCTTGTCGACTCGGTCTCTGAACTCATTCTGGACGCCCTTATTCTGCAGAGCCAAACTATCTTGGAAGCCGTTGTTGTCGATCTTCTTCCAACCGTAGAGTCGATCGATTTTGTTCAGCGCAACGATGAAGGGAGTTTTCCGGTCACGAAGGAGTCTCATGGACTCGAGAGTCTGCTGTTCCAAGCCATGCATAATATCAACTACCAGAATGGCGATGTTACAGAGCGAAGAGCCTCTTGAACGTAGATTGGAGAACGACTCGTGCCCGGGTGTATCAATAACAAGCAAACCAGGAACTTTGAATTCGAAAGAGCCGTCTTTGTTGACAACGGCTGTCTTTTGCTTCAGGGCCTCCGTGGGGAAATATGTGGCACCAATCTGCTGGGTGATACCACCAGCCTCTCCCTCCTGCACATTTGTCTGCCTGACTTTATCCAAGAGCTTTGTCTTACCAGTATCGACATGTCCAAGAATACAACAGATAGGAGAACGGAGATTATCCTCTGACCGTGCCGCAAGGGCTTCTTCATGCTGCTTCCTTCGTCTTTCCGCTGCCTCTGCCTTTTTCTGAGCGAGAGCTCGCTGAGTTGCAGTAGCCTCCTCATCTTCCTCGGATGATTCCTCCTCAGACTCTTCGGGGGATGTTTCCGCCTTGGCGGCGCCATTTGCACCTGGCTTCTCGTCTTGGTCCGCCTGGTCCGCATGGTCCGCCTCTTCTTCGTCCGATGAAATATCCCAGCTTTCTTTAATACCATCATCCTCGGCTTCTTTCGCAGCAGCCTGGGCAGCGGCTTCAGCAGCGGCTTTGTCTTCTGCACGCTTTCGCTCCTCTTCGGCTTTCTTAGCCCTTTCAGCTTCAAGCTCTAGTCGTTGAGCCTCAGCTCTAGCAGCAGCGGCCTCGAGGTCATCCTCTTGTTTCTTCACGGGGCGTTTCTTCTTATTTTCATATACTGGCTTCTTCTTTTCCACAGGCTCTTCTAATCCCTGGACTACCGCACCGGCCGCAAGCATCTGCTGCTTCCGGAGCTCGTTGCGCTGTTGCGCCTCCTTCTGCGCCTTGGTGAGCAATTTACCCTCCCTTCTCAGCTGTTCTTTCTTTTCCCGCTCCTTTTCCTTTCTCCTCTGTCGAGCTTCCTCCTTTTTCCGCTCCTCTTCTTCTATTTGCCTCTCCCGTTCTTCAGCCGCGGCCTTCTCTTCAGCCTCTAGGCGGGCAATTTCCTCTTGTTGTCTCCGCAGCGCCTCTTGTTGCCTCTGGATCGCAGCGAGATGGGCCGGGACTTTCCTCTTCTTCGCACCAGTGTCCGCAGCGGGAGCAGCGGAGGGAGCGGCAGGTTTTTCGTCAGTAACAGGCTTAGCGGCTTCAGCTTTTGGCGCGGGGGCAGCAGCTGGGGCAGCGACCTTCTTCTTCGCAGCCTAAAATAAACCAAAAAAAAAAAAAAGGAAATTGTTAGTTACCATTATCTTTCCACCTCAGAAAATAGCGAGTAAATAGAGAAAATGAACATGAAAATATGATAAATGAAAGGGAAAATGCCCACCTGCTCCTTCTTCCTCTGCTTTTCCCTCTCCTTCTTCTCCTTCTCCTTCTCCTTCTTAGACTTCAACCTTCCTCCCTCCTCCGCCTCTTTAGCCTTTTCTTTCATCGCAGCCACTTTGTCTTTCGCCCGTTGCCGCGCAGCAGCATTCCCCGAAAATACATCGTCCTCATCCTCAAAGCTAGCTTCTTGCGGCTCTTTGCTCTTAACAGTAGCAGCAGCAGCATCAGCAGCCATTGGATCTTCGCCTTCGACAAAGTCATTATCCTTGCCCTTCTTGGCTTTCCTGCTCCGGTTCTTCTTGAGCGCTGCTAAGAGGCCGCCGGACATTCCGTCGTCGTCGTCATTGTTATTATCGTTTGCATTTGCATCGTTGGTAGCATCGTTGCCGTTCTCGCCGGCGGCAGCAGCGTCGGTGGGTGGGATGGTTTCTCCAAGCTCAGCCTCCCAGTCCTCCTGCTGCTTCCTGCCGCCCTTCTTCTTGGGTGCCATTTTTCGAAAATTTGGATGATTATCAGGGTTTGTTTTCTCCCCTGATTATTTTACGATTTTTGCTGACGTTGTCTAGAATATATATCTCTGTTTGTGGGGTTGTGTGTGTGTGTATTGTGTGTTTGTTGTGCCTGCGTGTGTCTTGTAAATGTAGCGAGGTTCTAGGCCAGGTATATTTTTTATGTGGTCCGCAGCCTGTCTCTTAACGAGAGTGGTGATAGCGGTGGTAACGGTGGAGGCGTGCTAGTAAAATTCGACGTGAGGTTTCTCGAAGGCAAATGAGGTGACATGAGCAAGAACTAAAACCGAGCCCAGCGGCAATCAAAGGCTAAGCTAAATTTGCCTTTCCGCTACCTGATTCTTCTGTTGGTGGTAGGTAACTGAAACCGAGATGGAGAATATGGAATATGGCCTGGAGGTGATTTGCGAGGTTTTCAGATGAGGAACAAAAAGAAAGTTATTCGTTGTGTTCGTTCGTTCGTGCTGCGGGTGGGGGACAGCCAAGCGAATTGCCCGGCGCTGGAACAACGAGAGCAAGGACGACAAAAGGGGGAATTTTATTTTATTTAATATTACTTAACTATAGTTTGATACTGTAAGAGTTTTATATTAACCTCTATAGCTTTTGTTATTCACTTATTATTGTGTTTCTTGGCAAGGAATATTCATCATCTCGTCCTATATCAGCTATTTAGGCCTATAAATTATTCAATCATCCTGAATCCTGAGCAACCCAACCACGTAAATGGACAAAGAACAACCTCTCACAGGAGGGCTTTTGAAACATGTGATTGGACATCTTCATCTCACTCTCCTTAGATGTCAAAATATTCAATCAAGTGTGAAGCGTGGATAAAGTCACTCAATTCAATCCTTTCGCCAAAGGGAGGAGAAGAAGAAAGGGGGAAAATGGCCAAAGCAGAACATGGTGAGCAACCCTCTACATCCATGCTTTTCACCTTTAAATCGAGCTGTTTGTTTCCTGGTTTTGCCGGACTCTGGAGAAGCGGACAGAAATGCGAACATGCCAACGAATTCCCAGTTCTCTTTTTCCAGGATCGTAAATACCCACCCACCCAAAAGATGCAGGTCACAGGGAAATTTGTACCATAGACCCCATCCATGCCATAACAGCAGCAAACGGATCCTCAGCACCCGGAACAACCGCAGCTGCAAACTCCATAAACCTACTCACCTTCTCCCCACCACCACCACCACCACTACCAGCAACCTTAGAGCTTTCAGTCATGCGGTCCTCTTCTTCTACCCCCATCATCCGTCTCAACTGCCCTATGCCCCCCTCAACCAACCGACTCAGGATATCCCCATTAACATGCAACGACTCAGGCTTGGAAACCGTAACCTCCCACGTATCAATGGAGTTTCTCCGCCTGCGCCTTGCCAGCGGACATATGGACGGTTCCTTCATGCACACATTCTGGATAAAGCGTAGTAAGCGCCACTGCGGCTCGGAGAGGGTTGTGAACCTATACACCGTGCCGTCGATTGCGGTGCCGTATGTCACCTCTAAGCCCATGCCTGGTGTAGTTGCTGCTGGTCGCGAACTTCTGGATAGCCGAAAGACTGACAAGGGCATATGGGCTGTGAAGGTCTTGTGGATGAGTTTGTCTTCGGGTGTGAGGCCGACTTCTGTCAGGCCGACGATGGCGCCACCTAGGGTTGATGTTATGGTTATGCGGGAGTCGTCTTGTAGGTTAACGAGGTCGAGGCTTTCCCTGTCGGAGCCGTCCTGGCCATGTAGTGTGAGGCCTGTGTCTGTGGCATGGAGAATGCAAAGTGAATTTTTCAGTGTTAGGACGTATATGTAAGGTTCCCGCACGGTGATGGCCACGGCATCGGACTCCAGGTGATAGCCGGGTCGTTTCCGCCATTTCTTTGCAACAGGGTCTATAGTTTGGAAAATAACTTGATCGCCAACGGCTAAGACCAAAGAGCTGGGTTTGAAGGGCGCTATCGCTCTGACAGGGGCTTCGTAGTCAAGAACGTATTTCACTGACGAGTCTATCTGACCCGGAGATCGAGCGCTGGGACGAGCTACCATGTATATCACCCTCCCCATATGGGCAGAGTGTGGTTGAGCCGTTGCGGCAACAACCATATGGTGCACGTTATCACCGCTCGAGACACTCCAATCCAGGAGTGCTGTGACCTCTTCGCCGGATCCACCAGTTGGCCTCCATGGCCTGGGTTCAGCCTCTGGTGTACCTTCCGGTTCACCACTTAGGGATATGGAAGACGACACACCTACTTCGTCGTCCGGGTCGATGAAGTCGATACGAGGGCGTCTCCAGCGCTTCACGCACTCTGCAGTCTCTTTGAGTTCAACGGCATTATATGCCACAACGAGTTGCTTCAAATATTCCGAGTATATTATTCTCTTTGGGCTTCCCGGGATTGCAATATGCCGCGGAACTGTTTTTGGTGTCTTCTCTAAGATGCAGCACAGTAGCTGGTTTCTCGTGATACATACCAGCGAACCACCAAGTCCCCCCGAGTTGAAATCGGGACGAGAGTCGATGCAGGTAAACACATCGATCGTAGCTTGCACGCGGGCAGGCTAAAGGGGGTAGTTAGCATTAAAAAATGAGTTCCTGACGGTGTATTTTTAGAACTAACATTGTTCTGGTCAGTGACCCATATCTTGTGAAGAACGAACTCGTCAGATTCTTCATCCTCAACATCAGATAGGCGCCATAATCCGCGGCCACACGTTACAATCGCAAAGGTTGCGTCTGATTCGTATCTTCGAATCCGGACAGATGTATTGCCCAACTTGCGGACGTCGGTTTGGACCAGTGCTGGAAAAGGGGGCAAAAGAATTAGCGGGTTGATAGGGTTTTTATAAATCCGTGCATGGGAAAAAACATAAGCATACCAATGTTTCCGGAGTCTCTCTCGAGCCGTACATCGAACGAAACCATGTTGCCACTCCGAAGTCCGCAAAACAGTGTTGTTTTCGTCCTTCCACGTCTAGGGACGGTAATAACCGCGAAGCTTTCGCAAACTGTTGATTCGTCATTTCCAGGGAAGAGGAGAATGGATTGTTCCAATAAGGGTACAAGGCCTAGAATGGGATCAATCCGTGCAGATAGGAGTTTCCCTTCTGTGGTCCCAATGAATAGGACAGGCTGGGAAAATATCACTTCGATTGTCAAGTTAACCGGCTCACAGGCCAATGGCAGGGGTTGCCCAATAGTAGGGCATTGGAGGTTACCATCGTTTATTTCTACCTTCCGAAGATGAATATGGATACCCGATGCTGTCCTTACTGCCGCGGCAAATAGTGATAGGGCTCCGCTGACAGCTGCGGCGATAATACGTTCAGCTGGATTTTGACACCGTGTTGAGTAGCGAAGTGTCGTATTCTCGAGAACGGATAGGTGTATCGACAACTCCGTGACTTGGATGACCACTCCCTCGCGGGAGCTTCCTGCGGCAATGGTTTGGGTCTCGAGATCAATGCCAGTATCTTCCTCGGTCATCACATATAGATCGTCCTCAGTTTCGACGGGAACAGAAATGACAGATGATGATAGCGGGTTCGAAAACAAGAAATATGTCCCTCCTGTTTGCCGGTTTGGGCTAGTCCACACGTCTAGAACACTTGACGAATCTTCCTGATCAATAACTAGCCCGACTCGGGCCTCGATTCCATGACGCAATTCTGTAATTGACCCGCGATAAAGGCCATCCCACGAACATGTAAAGATCCGATCGAAGGCGAAGTCCACAGCCTTGCGTCCATTTTGGTAGTTTTCCGTGCCCTGAGAATCAGGAGCCTTTATCACAACAGAATCAAGAACGGGAGCCCAATTTGGGATCCTTTGAAGACATCTCGAATTTTTTCTAGCACCCAAAAGAAATAGGCCACCGTCACCCATAGAGCCTGCAGCCACAAGTATATCACCTCCAGTTTTAAACCCGGAGTCGAGGATGGCAAAGCCTCTGTCGACATTACAGCCAATTGATTTTATGCGAATGTCTTTCAGAAGCCACCATGACTCCCCAGCCATTTTCTTAATTTCCAGATATGACAACTCACCATCCTGGCGGCATAGGTAAAGGTCATCTTCTATTTCGTGGTGAGCAATGTTCCTCTTTGGCCGAACCCAGGCCGTACATGGCTGACCTCCCCGGTCATCCGAACTTTTATCTCTCATTGAAACAGTACTGTCAGCCAGGTTGATCTCGTAGACGCAATACCCTGCCTGGCTAACCAGCAGACAGGAGGTCGCAAATTTCAGTGGTATAAATAGCGAGGGAAGCCGGAACTCCGGTAGTATTCTTGATTTAATTCGCTTGGCCTCGACACTTGCAAGACCCTCGCCCTCCTTCCAGGTGTAGCAGGCGATATGAGTCTTCGTATGATTGTTTACGAGCAGCATTAGTACTATCCTATCCTCGTCTCCGGCGGCTGGGTGGAGAAAATCCATGGCTATTATGTCGCCATCAGCACGAAAAAACCGTTCCTAGAACAAGGACGGGTCAGCGTATGAAGATTATTCGAAATCAAGCTAGAGCTAGGGATTTGAAAATTGCGTATATCCATACCTCCTGAATTGGATTAACTGGCCCTGCCTCCATCTCTGCGCGGATAACTGATGGAGATTTCAGGGAGAAAATACCGAAAAATTTGTGCGCTGCTGAAACCGCCATTGATCTTGATCTGTGCGCACAGGCGGTTAGCTTCAACAAAACGGCGTCGATGCTAGTAAGGGTACGAACTAACCTGGGATCGATCGCAACATATCTGCCATATTGCTCGAGGGAGCTGACATCTGATGGTAAGGGGCGTCGCACGTGGATGAATTCCGGGCGGCCTGACGGGCCTTCCGCCCCGTACAGAAACAGGAGCTCCCTGCAAGCCAGAACTAGAACAAGGATCTGTCTATGCCAGCAGTCGTCAGGTGATGTATTAGACAATGCACCCAATTCACCCTCCTCTCTAAATTGCGTCCCTGTAACCGCATTTCCCGGGTTCCCGATAACTTTAGCATCGAGGATCTTGGTATCGAAATCTGCCTTTGTAGCAATGTCTTCCAGATGGCCGTTGGGGACAAGTTCCTTGATCTGTATAAAATCATCGCCTACAAAAACGATATCGTGTTTATCACGATGTCTGAGCCGCGCAGGTAGTGCCAGTTGGATCAGAGGGCCGGGCATAATTGTCCGGGAAAGAAGCCCAGTAGGTGGCACGCTCCGTGGCTTGCGCACACCGTCATCATCAGAAGTCCCTTGCCTGCTGGACATGATGTCTCCAATGTTAACTTGCCGAGTTGTCCAGTTGCCATCGGTCAGATAAGTGGTCTGGATGGACATGGTGTAAACCACTGCTTCATGAGAAGCCTCTAGATAACATTAAATTAATGCGCAGAAATATACACCCCTCGAGAGACCTTGGAGGTGTGAACAAAGGTGGGTGCCTGATGCTTCAAAAAAGGTCAGACTTGAAATAATCCGAGAAACACGATGCCTCTGTTCAAGGGGTTGTTGCTGGTAGCTATGTCGAGGATAAACACAAATTTAGGCCGAGGGCGAATAGAATACAATAGGAAAAAGGGGTATTCGATATTGAGATTGAACACCAACTCCTAAGGATCAATACTGATATGCATTACATGAATAGACGAATGGCAATATCTTTGAAGAAAAGGGATGGCTATGATATGGACAAAAAAGAATAACAGACACCGGGTCAAACCCGGCCTCAAAATCAACAACTATGAATTCCCAGCAGGAGCCAACAATTGCGATTCAGGGAGGTAGGCAGATCAGTAGGGAAATTCACAAAAAGTGAGTTGAAGAAGGCAAATCATGACATTGACTTGTGTTACAGACGGAGTACAGAGTATATGGTAGGTAGATAGCTGGGTATTTATAGGATAGGAAGTTAGAGTGGAATAGTAGAGACACACTTACATTGCTGCAGCACCCCTCTCTGTATCTTATTGAGCCATTTTAAGGCATTGGCGCCCAGCAACGAGAGGGGGGATTTCGGCCCAACAGACAGATACCACGGGCTGGTGTCCTCAAAATCTGATGGTGACCGGGCTTAAACAGGAGGAACCTGGATTAGTTGAAGTTAGCTGGCAGCTCCAATGGGTAGGGTCAATAGCGGTTATTGGTTTTGACAGCCTAATAGATCCCGCCGTAGTGATTCTATAGAATGTAGCTGTTGTAGCTGTTGTAGCTGGCTGCTGTTTGTCGTTCCTGTAGTTGTAGTTGTAGTTGTAGTTGTAGTTATGCGCGAATCTTGATAATGCTGGCTGGGAGAGGTGGTGCGTGGACATAAACACCGGCCAGAGGGGCAATACCAGATCCTTAGTCATCATTGGCCGAGCCGCCATCGTTCGAGATCTCTCATCGATCAACCTACGCCCAGGATCAACAACTTCATCTCCATGCGAGAAACCATCCTCACTCGCATAACGGCCGTATACGACGTTATCCAACCAGTGGCCTGCTATCCGCATCATCCGTTCAGCACGCCAAAACACGATTCGGCCGTTCGTGGCTGTCCCGTTGACTCTTGGTGCGCTGCGAAATTCTAAAACCACCACGCCCTAAGTCTGGCGTGCATCTTGCGCCAGGTACTAACTACAGCCACGGCCTCGATTAGCTATATATTTATTGTCTTTTCTTCAATCAAGGTCAGATTGTTACTCCTGTTACTTAACTGGTCACTTGGACTATCCTATTCACCCTTCTTTGGATATGTTATCTTCCCTTGAAGAAATGGAATGTTTATTTCCGTGATCTTGGTCTTCTCGTCAACCAATGCTGTCACAACTAAAATGTTTCCAAACCGTATCTAACATCTGTTTACAGACACTCTCGCTGGTCCACGTATCCCCATGTTCATCAATTGTCCACCTTGGAAAACACATCATCGTCTATCGTTGATACTCTGTTTTGTTTTCGTCTTTGACAGGAATCCTGGTAGATGAGATCATAGTACATGTACAGTACATGCCAATTAGGGCCTGTTGTTAATTCTTATTTTTCGCCGGCTTGGAGGCTTTGAAATATTCAAAATTGTTTTTGTTTAACTCTTCTTATTTCCCCCCACTATCAATACCCCCAGCAACAACATTCTCATCTTCCACGCGTTATTTTTAAACAGCCAGTGGGCTTGAAAAAAGGTTTGCAGGGGCAGGCTCCAGTGTAACCAAACCATATATCCCTGAGCCAAGATATCACCTCTGAAGCTTTCATCCCCTTCCACACCAGTCTACGCTTCCGTGGACATTCCACGAATCCTATGGATAGCGACAAAAATTCGTCGACTGCGGACTGCCAAAGAGCGTCGGGGCTGAGCAGTGCTCAATCAGATGACCGAACTAACCCAACATTCAATTGGAAAAAGCGGAAGGAGATCCTTGATGCTTGCGAAGCCAGAGATGCCCATGCATTGGCCTCCCTTTGCTTAACGGAGGGAGGCTTGCTGCAAGATGATCTCCGCCAAGCTGCTTGTAAGATTTGACATGCCAATTCATTCTTTCCATTCTTGATAACCGAAGTTTCTATTTATTCAGAACCTCACATCCCGTGCAATGCAGGGCCTATCCTACTGGGGTACGACCCCAACTCAGATCATTCCACAGAGTCCGAATGGACAAGTCTACCTACACATGGTGATGAGGAGCAGGTGAAGTTGGATGTCAACCGGGCCTTTGTACATTATCCAAATTGTATGAACGAATACGAAAGCCAATGCCCAATCACGTTTAGAAAGGGAGCGAGACACTGACGTGAGTTTGCAGGCCAAACCGAGAAGGAGCTAGATGGGAAAAAGCAACAATTATCAGAACTGATAACCAAAACCCTTAGAAAATACCCCATGTTATGTTATTTCCAAGGCTACCACGACATCGCACAAGTCCTTTTTCTAGTCCTTGGCATCGAGCAAGCCAGTCGCGCCTTTGAGCGAATATCGCTTTTCCGGATAAGGGATTACATGCTCCCAACGCTGGCACCAGCCCTTAAGCACCTCCATCTTATCCCGGCCATCATCCACTCCACCGACCCCAAACTATGCAGCCATTTGTCTGGCACGAAGCCCTTTTTCGCACTTGCAGCAACCCTGACCCTCTATGCCCATGATATCCAAGAATATGCAGACATAGCCAGGTTATATGACTTTATCCTCTCCCATGAACCTGTCGTATCCATATACCTCTTCGCCGCCATAATCCTCTCGCGGAAAAAGGAGCTCTTCGAAATTCCCCTCGACGAGCCTGAAATGATACATTTCACCCTCTCAAAACTACCCCACCCAATCAACCTCGACAGTCTTATCGCCAGTACCATGGAGTTATACTCTACCCATCCACCTGAAAAACTGCCCTTTCGCGCTTGGAAGAAAATCCCCCGCTGTAGCGTACTTAAAACATCACGGAATCTTGGCCTGCAGGCCACGCCGGAGGAAGCGATGGAGCTGCTGGAGCAGCAGAAGCGACATTTGCGGCGGGAAGAGCTGCGGGAGAAGGCCGTGAAGGTCATGTGTAAATATAGACGACCTGCAGGTATGATAGGTATGGCTGTTTTTGTGGGTATTCTCTCATACTGGATTATGAGGAACGAGAGCAATACTATGCCCATTTGGCGGCATTGCTTGGGGCGATTTGGGAATGTTTTTCACTGGAGGTAGGCAATGGGCGGGGGATGGGCAAGGTAAAGGAAAAACAAGGAAAGAAAAAAGAGGGAGGTGGTGTATTGTATATTACTTCGCAACGAATTTAGGACTGGGTTATTTATTGATGAATCTGCGGGATATGACAATGCTATGTAATAGAATCCTACTTTTTCCTTTGATCACGAACATTACCGGCGTTTATGTTGCAAATAAGACATACCATACTATGTACTATGTTTGTGCAGCCTGTGCGTGGCAATAGCGATGACGTTGCCCAGCTCGAGCTTGATTCCATATCTGGCAACTGGAAGCATCAACAACCACCACAACCTGCATCAACACTCATGTCTCTGCTGCTGTAGCCCAACCGCGACAATGGCCAACCGGGGTTACGATGTAGTAGTCGACGTCGATGCTGAGGTATGTATTGAATATTCCTAGGTTTCTATTTCTTCTCAACTGACTGAACGCCGCCGCAATAGGGTGACCTTGGCCACACCGACCTTCAAGAAGATCTCGAATTCCACCCGTCCAGTACGCTCCTGCATCCCCAAATAAACAACAAAGTGAGGACTGAAACTCGCTCCATACATCATACGTCTAACATCCGCCCACACACATACAGACTTTGAAGAGAACTCCAACACCGCCAAACCCCACCACGCCGACACAACCCCCTTCCTAGGCTCCTCTCAAGGCGGAGCTTCATCTCGCCTCCGCGGCACCTCCCCCGGCGGCACCCCTTCCAAACACCGCTTCTGGACCCTAACATACTACTCCCAATTCTTCGACGTCGACACCTCCGAAGTCGTCCGCCGCTGCACCGCGACCCTCTACCCACGCACAAACTTCCTCGACGTCCTCGACGGCAACCCAGATCTCTACGGGCCCTTCTGGATCGCCACGACCGTCGTCGTCATCCTGTTCCTCACAGGCACCGTCTCGCAGTATCTAGCGCGCAGGGGCGAAGACCACTTCGAGTACGATTTCAGCCTCCTATCTGGCGCCGCGGGCCTGATTTATGGATACACGGGCATCATACCGATTGCGTTGTGGGGGGCGCTGAGGTGGTTTGCGCGGGCAGGCGGCGGTAGTGGTGAGGACTTGGTGGAGTGCTGGGCGCTGTACGGGTATGCGAATCTGGTGTGGATTGTGGTGGCGTTGGTGAGCTGGAGTCCGTTGACGGTGCTGAATTGGGTGCTGGTCGGTGTCGGGTTTGGGTGGTCGGTATTCTTCATGTTGCGCAATCTGTACCCCGTGATCAGCGCGACGGATGCGAAGACGAGTAAGGTGTTGCTGGTTGCGGTTATTTTGCTACATGCTGGGTTGGCCATTGCCATTAAGATTCTGTTCTTTGCGTGAGTTTTCGCTACTTTCTTTCCTTTTTTTGTTTTCTTGCTTTCTCCCTTGCCGTCTTTTTCTCTTTTCCTCCTCCTTATTGCTCTGGAGTTTACTAACCTTTGGCTCTGCTTAAATAGGCACGGAAGCCCGGCGTCAGACAAGAATAAGAATAAGAATAAGGATGACAAAGGCGATAAGCATGATGGCAAAAACGATAAGATGGTGCGGATGTTTTATGGGATGTGAAAGATATATCAACGTGATTTGATGCGACGCTGAATGGGATGACCACTTATCTACCTCAATTATTTTACTTCCGTTTGCTTGAAGAACGGCTATGATGGTTTTTATCTATTTGTTTCTTATATCCTGAGTTTTTGTTGTGTTTTTCCTTTATTCGTTTTCACAACACTATCTTGTCTATTCTCATTGATGGTTATTTTTTTATTTTTTTTCATATATATATATCCCACAAGCGGATCGGGTATTTGTATTTTTAGCAATCTGCCGGATGTCTTCCCCTATTAATCTCCTTATACGTTTGCATCTATAAACAGCCTACATATATGCTATTATGTTTATGTTAGATAGAGAATGGAATGGAACCAACCGCGGGGACAATGAGCTTGGAACTTCTAGTGTCTAAGACACCAGATCTCTGTTTTTGATCTATTTCCAATCGTTTAAGGTATATTTTGTTGATCGCCAAGCTCACGGTTTACTTTCCGGGAATATTTCTACAAAGATAAATTCTCTTTTTCAAAGGACGAACTAGTAATTCAGGAATAACATTTACTCTAAACAGCTTGCCGGGTGCCGCCTGAAGTCATCACCTGTTCTTATCCCTTGAGACCGACATGGCGTTTATTTAGTTTATCCATGGTGTCGATTGGATGTGCTTTGATCATTCGGGGAGCAAAGTAGGGAGAGAAAATCGTATTTCCGAACCTTGTTTGGATTCTTGGAGGACATGTCATGTAGGGACACAATTTCGTATTTTTTTTTATCATCATCCTCCCCAAGCGGGGAAATAAAACGCCGCAAGGTACGGTACACGTTACATGTAGGTTAGGGGATCAGTGTTCAGATTCGTCCATCGAAGCCGAACATGTCCACAAGCTTCCCCTGTCATCTCGCAACACGGAAGGAAGGGAGCGTGAAGGGAAGCGGGAAAAAAAAAAAAAAAAAAAGAAGAAGAAAGGACAATCATAATAGAGAGGTAACCAGACAACCGATGATATTGAAAGAAAATAATTAATTAATCTACTTGAGCTTCTTCTTTGGTCGGAGTTGGTTGGTGTGGCCGCACTTCTTCTTTCTGCAGTTGGTGGCACGGGGTGGAAGGCGGGCCTGTGGAGGAAATTGAAGACGTATTCTGTTAGCTATATCTTGTTCTGGAACGGGTTTGGTTTTATCCGCTCTTCTTCTTTTGTTTTTTCCCCCTTAAGTCTGATGGCGGGAAATAAAATGAAGAGGACAAGACGGGGTGGAGAAAAAGAAACATGAGAGAGACGTACATAGCACTTCCGGCAGATCATCTTGTCGCAGTTGTACTTGCTGGCAAGGGCCTTTAGCGAGGGCTCGATGATACCACCACGCAGGCGGAGGACGAGGTGAAGGGTAGATTCCTGTAATTTGCGCATAGAGTTAGAAGACCGTCTCTCTGCTTTTTGCCAAAATATACACATGTGCATGTATAATCGGGATCCTCTAAAATTTCCTCAATTCTTCAGATTCCCCGATGAATCGATGTTGACCCCAATTTCATCTGGCGATTCCGATCGCCATCTACTCCAACCATTCACAGTTCCTATCCTCATCTCCCCAGGCGAAAGTTTCGGATCCAAAAGATTGGAATCATCATGCCCTCCCCCAAGCAATCCTCCTCTTCCTATCCCATTTTCACCACCCGAGTTCAATGTTCCCTAAGATATCCCGAAAGAAACCAAGGAGAGAGGAGCCCCTACCTTCTGAATGTTATAATCACTAAGCGTCCGGCCGTCCTCAAGCTGCTTTCCGGCAAAGATCAACCGCTGCTGGTCGGGTGGGATTCCTTCCTTGTCCTGGATTTTGCTCTTGACATTGTCGATGGTGTCGCTGGACTCGACCTCGAGGGTGATGGTCTTGCCCGTTAGGGTCTTGACGAAGCTGTGTGTTTTTTAAAATATCCTTCAATCAGCATATTCCTTCTTTTTTCCAACAACATTCGTTCTCCCTTTCTCTTTTTCTATTGCATCTAGTCGTCTTGATGTGGTTTAATCTCGGTCGTTTGGTTAGGGTTTTGGGGAGGGCTTACATCTGCACTGTACATGATGAAAAAACACGGTTAGCTTCTCGTTCATTTCATATCCAAAAAAAGACACTGGCATACACCGGCGATCATGTCACTTACTGGTTGCTGATACTCGTCGGTTGTTGCTGGATGGGTTTGTCGTCTCTCTCGAGATCTCTGGCGCTGTCTGGATGTCTCGGGGCCAATTTGAAGATTCTCTCGCTTAGCGCGTGGGAGGCGTGACACCGCTGTGCCCTAAGCCCTAATTTACCGTTTTGGGTCAGTGTCCCCCTTCTATATAATAAATTCCGAACTATGGAATGAGCTTGGAACGATGTAAGCTGCTATCTAACCATCTAATTTCAAGTTAATACGAATGACTACTTTTGGGTTAATAAATGAAACACATTTTCCTTGACAGGGTGTTATAAATTGCTTGGGCAATATACATGCTGCCTCCTTTATCACTTAAGGGATATTTTGAGTAGCCTTGGCTTGGGATATCTAGTTAAACCAGACCTCCAGGATTTTGTATGTTCAACAAAAAAAGCATCATTAAGTAGTATTAGCTATTTATAATTGTGATTGTAATTATATACCTACTCCCTATTTCTTCGTCCCCATCTCCTTCCACGTCATCGTCATCGTCATCTTCCCCTTCTCTTCTGCTTCCTCCCCCTCTTCACTCTCCTGCCCCATACTATCCTTACCATCCATACCCACCCTCAGCCTCGTCTCCGTTTGATACACCCCAGTAACCACCGTCCTCAACGATACCCCAATAACCCTTGCAGCCGCCTCGTAAAAAGCCCTAGCCCGCTCGTTAAGCTGATCTTCGAAACGGTAGCGCTTATAGAAGCTTCCTGGGCGGGGAACGTTGGCGGCTCTAACAGATGGTTGCGTTTGGGTCCTTTGTTGCTCACCACCATCAGCAGTAGCAGTAGCAGCAGCAGTATTTGCAGGACTGATTGCACGGCGAATGCGCAGCTCGCCGAGGACGTTGTGAAGTTTTGCCGTGAGTAAGTCATCGCCTTCTATCTCCTTTTGCTGTGGATCCCGCTGTTCTTCCTGATCGTGGGTTTCATTGTTGCCGTTATTGTGATTCGTATCCGATGCTCGAGCAGTCGGGAACATGTCCGCGAATGGGTTTGATGCTTGATTCATTGTAAACATGTCGTTAGCATGACAATAATGCAAACAAATGCTCCTCTTTTTCCTCCCCCAAGCAAACCAAAATCCCAAGATCAAAAAGAAAAGAAAGGGGGACAATCCATACCCCCTCTTCCACCCCACATGCGCTCATACCAATCCAAATACTCATCAATCTGCCTGCCGTCCATTCCGAAAACATCACCAGCTTGAATCCCAATCTCTCTCCCTTTCACTTTCACCTTTTTAACCTCCTCCCCCTCGTCACTAAACTCCCTCTGAAACCTCATCCACGCTTCCCAATCCATAATCTGCGCTGCAGGCTCACGCCATGAGTACGGGTACCGCTTCACATTGGCCTCCGCCTTCAGTGAAACCTTATGCCTACCCCTACCCCTACCCTCGCCCTCGCCCTCATCCTGATCCTCATCCTCAGTCCGGCCTAAGTCACCTAGATTATCGTCGAAGGGATAGAAGAGCTTCACGGCGATGATAAGGAGAGATACAAGCTGGACTTCGGGGAGGTTTATGGACTGGAATTTTCTTCTCTTCCTCCTTCTCGCCGCCCCTGGCTTTCCTTTGATAGGAGTGGCAGCGCTAGAAACAGAGCTGGCGGCGGTGCATAATGAAGGATAATAGGTGAAATTAAAACCTGCGAGGTGCTGTAGACGGTTTAGGATGGCGGGGAAGGGTTCGACTGCGGGGAATGGTTTAAGTATTTTTATTCATCATGTTTGACAATCAGGTAAGAAATGGGAAAAGTTTGGTAGGCCTTACGGGGCAAGGAGAGTTGTTTCATATACGCGAACAACATAAGAGGTGCGTTGAGCGGTGGGATTCGGACGCCGAACTCTTTACGGTAGAACACTGCTAAGCTTGCTATGGCGCGGTGAAGTTGGTCGCCTGTAGGGACGTTCTGCATATACATCGGTACTTTGCTGTAAGTAGGCTTTATAATAGGTATATATATATATCTGTGTTTTTACCATACCTTTGTATCCAACGCGTAATGATACGCCGCCGGCAATCGGTCCTTCATATCCTGCGGTATAAACCGTATAGCTCTGATTAGGGGGATTTCGTCGTTCAGGATCCAACTGCATATCCCCCGACACATATCATTTGTAATCAGCACTTATGGACGCATTCATCTCGCATAAATCTGCAATTCGTCACGACAATAAGTAGACACAACACACACACCTCTCCAACACCCCAATCCCAAGCGGCACCCTCAACAGCATCAACGCGAGATAACACAGCGCCAGCGAATCAATCAACATCGGCGATTCTATCAGGCGCCTGCGATGGTATGCATTCTCCTCCTCCTCTTCCTCCGCCTCTGCAGCAGTTTCACCATCCGCATCTGCATCACTCGGACTCGTGCCAGTAGCAGCAGCAGACGAACCTCCTCCCCTCTGCGAACTGAACACCTGCGGTTGATCTGTTTCATGATCGGATGCATACGCAAGGCCGTCTCCGCTGCGGCTGTACAGCTGCGGCAAGCGGAGGGTCCAGAGGTCCTTGACAAGGGCCTGCGTGTGGAATTAATAGGAGTTTTTCTTTTCGTAATACAACACCATAACTATGGGGTTGGGGGGGGTTTTGGGGGGGGAGGGGTGAGCGGGCATATGTATCTAAATACCTCAAGCTCCACTGGCATCCCTTTCCCATGCACAAACGCATGGCATTGTTTCCAGAGGATGAGTTGGTATGCTTCTAGGAAGAGCTGGTAGGCCTGGGAGCCGTGGTATGCTAGATAACATCATTTTTTGTTGTCCATGTGTCAGACAGATATCGAGTAATCAGAAGTATCCAAAAACAGCGACACCGGATAGTCGCATTCCTTTCCCTATCCTTGGAAGACATGTAGGTGTAGGAAAGTGAAATAGAGGAAAAACAGGCAAGCAAAGGGGTGCACTAATGCGTTTTACAATACTAACTCTTCGACACCCTCTCCGCCTTCACCCTCTTCTGCCGAATAACCCTCCCCTGCTTGCCAAAATCCTCATCGTCGACGATGACTTGGCGGCCCTATATAGATGGACACCCCCATACATCCCATACATTAGCTAGGTGAGCTTTTCCTGATATTCTCTTCCCTATACATAAATATATGTATATCTACACCAAATATCTGTACATTCTGGGCTGTAACGTAACATATTATGCGCTCTATAGATTGTTTACATACCTCCTGCTGATGCCCACCGCCACGACAAAACCACAGGCCGTTTTCGAGAATGTATCGCGTCTCGAGACAGCCGTCTTGGCCGCAAACGCCGCGGGTAACGGATTCTTGCATCCCAGGCCTATTGTGTTCGAGTGAGCCTCGCGCCCCGGCCTACCCCCCTTTTTTACTGCTTTCGCGTTTGGAATTTTAATTTTTCCCGGGAAAAGGGGGATAGATGTTATTTATTGTCCAATCATCTGGCCCTTTTCATTCACTGAGAGGCCCGGTGTGCTGAGGGGCGTTGTAGTGATATATAATATATGTGTTGTTAGGAAATAGTTATGAGGGAGGATGGGATAGAAAATGGGTTGGGTTTGGTCTTGCCACCAGCAAAAATATATTTAACATTATAGAAACTCAGCAATTGAAATTAAAGAAAAAAAATCACTGCTCAGTCTACTATTTCAGGCATCTTCAATATTTTTTGTTTCCTTCTTTCAGACTTCTTATTCATCAGAAGGAGCTGCTCTCCAATAAATAACTAGTTATACCAGGAAATGTAAGTAGGAAGCTCGAAAAGCTCTCTCATTTTACCAGCTAGTCACAAGGTGAGTATGTTTTCTCACAAAAAACATTTGAAAAGATAACAAAAATATAGTTATGTTTTTTTATATTGATTTTTTTTAAAAAAAAGTTTTCTTTTTTATACTCTCTTTTTTTGGGCCTTTTGATTCTTTTTTCTCATCTCAAGTCAAAAATTAAAAATTAAGAAAACCAAGTTTGTCCCATGTGTATGTAGCATTTTCTTTCTCTTTTTCTTTCATTATTGGTGTGTTTTTTTCTGCCCTGGCAAAAGGGAAGAAAATGAATAAGAAGAACGAGGGGATCCGCCGGGAGGTGGGGGATAGGATGGGTAAAAAAAAAAAAAAAAAAAAAAAAAAAAAAAAAAAAAAAAAAAAAAAAAAAAAAACACACAAAAAAAACACAAAAACCAACAATAAAAGCTGAGAGAGATATGATATGGGAAAAAGCTCTATGTGAGTTTTTCTCTGCTATCCTTTTTCTGCTATATTTTTTTTTTTTTTGCCCCTTACTTCCTTTCCCATTTCCCGGCCGCCATCGTCCATATCTTTTTTTATCCCATGTGCCAACAGAAAAGATAAATAAAAAATGAAAAAAAGAGGTAAAAAAAATGAAACATGTGGGGACGAAATTTTGGATTTCAAATTTCAAACACGCCTTGTAGTAGTAGATAAAGTAAAAACACAAACACATCAACACGTTAAAAAAGGAAACGGAAACATGAACACATTTAGAGACTAAGCTACTTTGTATTGTAAGCTAGATCTAAGAGCGGGGAGCTTCCTTGGCGTCCATGGCAACCTCCTCGCCCATGGCAGTCAAGACGACGACGTCTGTAGTAGGTGTGTTGTTGTTAGTAGGGTGTTGTTGAATTCAAGAGGCCGAGAAGCGAAAGTGGTATAAGAAAGCAATCAAACATACTGGTTTCCTTTTCCTCAGTACGGAAGAGCCTCTCGATCTTCTCACCAACTTCACCCTCAGGCAGCTTGACGTCGTCCTTGAGAGAGCCGTCGTCGGACATGAGGGACAGGAAGTTATCGTCGGTGATGTCGAGCTGTTGTAAATTAGCGTATTAGTATTTAGCACATATCACGCCCCTCGGTCCAGTTGGGATATAGAGAAATTCAGTTCATACCAGCTGGTATTCCTTGCGATAGACATTGGGGACCTCCATGTTGTGGGTGGACGGGCAGAGATCCTCGAGCTTCTTGGAGGTGAAGATATCGATGGCGACCAGGTGGACTTTGGCGTGGCCGTGTTTGCCGGTCTTGGAGGTGGACATCTCAACGATCTTGCAGGGGCGGCCCTTGATGACGACGTAGCCGTTCTTTCTCAGGGCCGAGCACTGCATCGGGTAGGTGGTGGAAGCGCCGGCGTCGGCGCTCTCGAAGGTGTGTTCATGCTGTTGAGATGGGATGGTGGTCAGTATGGTTTTCTCTTTTCTTTCTTTCTTTTTTTTTTCCTCTCTCTTTTCTCTTTTTTGGTGGAGAAGGGGGGGTGGGGGGTAATTGAGTATATGAAAACGAGTCAATGAATCAATGAATCAATGAATCAATTACTTAGGTTAGAAAAAGATAAAGGATGATTTGCCAGGTTCTTTTTCTTTTTTATAAATATATATATATATATATATATTATATATATGACAATTGGGATGCGGGGAAGAAGGGAAGAAGGGGAGAGGGGGAAAAAAAATAGGTGACAGCAAGGTAGCCCACAAAAAAGCATGGAGGGGAAAGGGAGGGAGGACATACCTGCGCGTCGTCGGCCATGGTGGATTAGATGGGAAAGGGACTGGTTATTACGAGAAAGAGAATGGAGGCCGACAAGCAGAGTGAACAGAGAGAGACGAGATGGCGTAGATGAGAAGCGACGGAGGAGTGGAGGAGGAGGGGAGAGAGAGAGAGAGAAGAAGAAGAAGAAGAAGAAGAAGAAGACGAAGAAGACGAAGAATGATAACGGCGAGTTAGCGGGAGAATTATTTCAGCCTGCGACCGACCGCCAGAAAGCCTCATTGAAGCCAAGCCCGTCCGTCCGCCCACTCAGAGGTTACCCAGAGCCATGCTGTTCCAATTATGATTATTATGATTATTATTTTAGTGATTAGTCTGGCTGGCTAATAACAAGGTCTGTAGCCTTTTTTTGCTTCTCTTTTTTTGCCTTTTTTTTCTTGGACTTTTGTTGGTGACTTATTTTTTGCTTTTTTCTGTTGGTGGCGGGCAACAAAAACGAGGGCGCTGCTTATGTAAGTGGCGGGGCAACCGACAAAGGACCTCGGATCCGCGCTAGGCTGCTTCGGGGCTGTTTGCACGTGTTTGCTGCTTATGCCAAGATTATTACGCTTCTGGTTGCTGAGGCTAGCCGGACATATCTGGCCGCTTCCGAGCTTTGCCGTTTTGGGACATCATCATACAATTCATTCAATCAAATACTCAATATACAACCCAACCCCTAGCACCTAGTAGAGTAGTACACATTGTAGACAATTCTTCCTGACACTCACCAGACCATGTCCCACCCTATCTAGATATGTCTATACGGTAGGTGGTTAGTTACTACTAAATACTATGCAGCTGCAACTGTCTCGCTCCGTCCTCCCCTCCTCCCCGCCTAGCTGCCCAACACCACTATGTGGCTGGACCGTTTCTCCGCCCATCCCCCCGCCTCTGGTGCTTCGACCCCCAGCACTCGCGGCTACTCTCCCGCCCGCCGTTCCCAGCACCAGCAACATCTCGCCGCTGCTACCCAGCCAAACCGCCCTGCCTTCAGTCCTCGATCCTCCTCGCTCTCCCTCTCCCTGGCCACTACTCCAAATGCTTCCTCCACCTCCCTCCCCAGTAACCTGCGCCAGGCTAATGGCTCCTCCTCCCTCCACAGACAGAATAGCTCGAAACTCGACCAACATCCTACTGGTTCTGCCGTTGTAGATCCACTCGAGGTGCTGTACAATATCATCGGGAAACGGCCCGAGGCTGAGAGAGATGGATATACAGATACTACCCCAACTATTTCTGTCGTGCATGCTGCGGCTGATGGACCTGCTGCTGGCAAGCCGGAATGCCTAGTCGAGGATATTGATTTTGGAGAGCTGGGTTTGGAGGAATTTTTACAGCAGAAGGAGGTCGGGGGGGAAAAGGAGAGAAAGTCCAAAAGACACGTCGATGTCCAGACTATCGAGCAGTGTATGTCCTGTTTGTGCCTTGCTTGATACTGGGTAGTACTGTTTGGCTAATATATATGGTATAGATGAAAAGGAAAGGAATAGGTTTCAGGAACTGCACAGCGCAATCAGCGTAAGTTCAACCTCACTCATTTTTTTTTTTTTTCTTTCTTTTTATCACAATGACAGTACTAAACGCATACTCTGTCCAGGGTTGCGATGACGTTTTGAAATCAGTGGAATCCTACCTGTCCAGATTCCGGACCGACCTGGGGGTAGTCTCTGCGGAAATCGAGTCGCTACAATCTCGATCTGCCCAGCTGAACTCCCAACTAGGAAACAGACGGAATCTTGAACGGCTACTCGGCCCAGCAGTCGAAGAAGTTAGCATATCCCCGAAAGCTGTGCGTCTGATTTCAGAGGGACCCATCAGCCAAGAATGGGTGAAAGCTCTTAATGAAGTTGAGACTAGATCAGCCTATATCGAAGCAAACGCATCCCCTGCCAATAATGTCAAGGCTGTCGAGGATATTAAACCGTTATTATCCGATCTCAAGGCGAAGGTGATACTGCCATTAAATATTACGCAAATGAGTATACATTCATTCACTAACACAGATTTTGGATCAAGGCCATTGAACGAATCCGAGATTACTTGGTCGCACAGATAAAAGCGATTCGATCGCCCAACATCAACGCTCAGATTATCCAGCAGCAATCCCTGATTAAATACAAAGACTTGTACGGCTTTTTATCTAGAAACCACCCAGCTCTCGCAGGCGAGATCATCCAAGCCTACATCAACACAATGAGATGGTATTACCTATCCAACTTCACCCGTTACCAACAGGCACTGGAGAAGCTTAAAGTCCATTCTGCGGAGCGCAATGATCTCCTGGGTGGTGACCCGAACGTGCAGAGAGGATGTATGTCACCCTTCCTCGAACAAGTTATTTTTGTAGATAATGTCTAGGAATGAAGCTTATTCGTCTACAGCAAATATATTCCCCGGCGCTCGCAACCCAACCTACGACCCCTTTGCCCTCGGCCGGCGTATGGACGTTTTAAAATCCTCCAACCGCACCGCCCTCCCTTCCTACCTTGCCGAAGAAAACGCCAGCCATGCAACAGCAGCCACAATTACAAACGTCAACCCCAAAACCCAACCGGTAATCCACGGCCTCGAAACCCCCTTTCGAAACTTTAACCTAGCCCTAATCGATAACATCTCCGCCGAATACTCCTTCGTAACCGAAATGTTCGTCACAAAAACGCAGTCGCTACACACCAGTTCTCGGCGCGTAATCGAGATATTCGATCCCGTTTTCGCCATCGGTCACACACTGACAAAACACCTAATTGACTCGTCGACCGATTGCTTGGGTATCCTGCTCTGCGTCCGCCTGAATCAGCACTTCGCCTTCGAGCTACAGCGCCGCAAAGTCCCCGTCGCAGACAACTATATCAACGGGATCAACATGCTCCTCTGGCCCCGTTTCCAGATGGTGATGGATCTAAACACCGAATCCATCAAACGCGTTGCCGCGAATACTGCCGGCAACATCAGCTCCGCCCTCTCCCTCTCCCTCTCAGACGCCACAAACACAAGCAGTACTTCCTCCTCATCCTCATCATCAGCCCCACATTTTCTCACCCAGCGCTTCGGCCAGTTCCTACAGGGCATATTAGCACTAAGCAGCGAGGCAGGCGACGATGAGCCTGTCTCGAATAGCCTGGCGCGGTTACGGGCGGAATTTGATGCGTTGTTAATTAAATTAGCGAGGGCGGCGAATGGTGGGGATGGAAAGGGCCGGGAGAGATTTCTATCAAGTAATTATTCGTTGATCGGGACTATTATAAGTGATACGAAGGGGAGGTTGGCGGAGGAGGTGAAGGAGGTGAGTTTTTATTGTTGTTTTTATTATTATTATTATTATTATTATTATTATTATTATTATTATTCGGGGTCGTTAATCGATGGTGTGAACTCTTTTGCTAACGGTTTCGAACAGCATTATAATCAGTTGATTAAGAATTCGGCGGGGAGGCGGTGATGGGCCATGGTGGGAGCTGAGATGCGGCCAGTGGGGACTGTAGATTTCTTGTCCTAAATGGATGACAATGGTGATGTATTGGTGTTGTTGATTTTTGTTTATTTTTCTTTCCATTTCTTTCTTTCTAATATATCCCATGATAATAAATAGGGTGTGTACTTTTATTTATCCTATGTTCCTGTTTCTTGCTTCTTTTTTCACCTCTATCGCGTTTCTTTACTGTATATCTAGGGCAATTTGTTTTACGGTATGGGACATGTTAAGCCAACTATAGAATGACTCAGTGCGGATGAGGACATAGAGATATAGACAACCACAGAATACATAATAGAATAGTGACTTTTTTCTTTATCTTCGTACTTTTCCCTCCGTCTTGTTAGGGGCGCGTGCCTCAAATTTCCCGATGCAGAAGATGCCGATGCCGAAAACTAAACCAAATTGGGCTGGGCGCATTGCCGAACTTCTCGGCTCATTCCATCGGCCCCATCCCCATCCCGTACCGTACCGTGTATAACGCAAACGCACTCCCCACCCATCATCCCCCCATCCCCCCTTTCCTACTTCTCTACAAAAGAAGGAAACTTCAACAAGTAACCAACACACAAGGGGACGAGATTGACACTTGTCACATTTCCATTTGTCCTTCATTATACACCCGACGACTCCTGATAGTCATATCATCCGATATTATTATTTTTTGGCAGTCTATCTACCCTCAATGCTCCCCCGTGCACTCGCACCCACAAGGACGAATGCAAGCAGGCATACACAAAAAAATAAGTGGAAACGGGCAAGATCATTCTCGACGAGCACAGCTACCAATACTGATTTCACACACGCGGTCAGCACCCATCATCATCATCATCATCATCATCATCATCATCATCATCATCACCATCATCAAACAGCCATAAATCCCAACCGCAATCACAAAACCGCCCTAACTCAAGTAACAATAAACAGGTAATCGGCGGCGGCATAATCGGCCTCTCCATCGCCCGCCACCTCGCCCTCACCCGCCCAAACACAACCACAATCCTCCTCGAACGCCACCCCGCCCTCGGCACAGAAACAACCAGCCGAAACTCAGAAGTCATCCACGCAGGCCTCTACTACCCGCCCGCCTCGCTGAAAACCCAACTCTGCATCCGCGGCAAACACCTCCTCTACAGCCTCTGCGCCAGCCCCTCGCACAACATCCCCCACAAGCGCACGCCGAAGTGGATCCTGGCGCAGGACGCGGAGCAGCGGGAGCGCCTGCAGCGCCTGCATGAGCATGCGGAGCGGCTGGGGGTCCCGACGCGGTTTTTGGGAACGGCGGAGATGGCGAGGCGGGAGCCGGATGTGAGGGCGCGGGCGGGCGTGTTGGAGAGTCCCAGCACGGGCATTGTGGACAGCCATGCGCTTATGGCGCGTTTGCATGGGGAGTTTGAGGAGGGCGGGGGCGATGTTGCATTGTTAACGGCTGTGAGCGGGGTGGAGAAGATGGGGCCTGGTGGGGGGTATAGGATATATACGCGCCCGGCTGGGCCGGGGAGAGAAGCTGAGGTAGCGGGCTGGGTGGAGGGAGCGGACGGGGAAGAAGAGACTACGATTACGGCCGAGACGGTCATCAATGCCGCCGGCCATAACGCCTGCGCTATCTCGAATATGCTCCTCCCGCCCGCCCGCCATGTCCACCCTGCCTACGCGAAGGGGACGTATTTCTCCTACGCCGCATCGAGCCCCAAGCCGCGCACCCTGCTCTACCCGGCGCCCAAGTCGGGGCTGGGAGGGTTGGGTACGCATCTTACGCTGGATATGACGGGCCAGGTACGGTTCGGTCCGGATGTGGAGTGGGTTGATGGCCCGGAGGATCTGGTGCCGAACGTGGGTAGGCTCGAAGAGGCTGTGAGGGAAATTCGTGAGTATTTGCCCGGTGTACGGCCGGAGGCGATTGGGTTGGATTACTGCGGAGTGAGGCCGAAGTTGGCGGGGAAGGAAGGGGAGGATAAGGGTGCGTTTAGGGATTTTGTGATTAGGGAGGAGGAAGGGTTTGAGGGGTTTGTGAATCTGTTGGGGATTGAGAGTCCTGGGCTGACGAGTGCGTTGGCGATTGGGGAGAGGGTTGGGGAGTTGTTGTATGGGTAGATGGCGGTGGATGAAAATGGATTAAAGGGGGTTGTCGATATATTATAGATGGAGAGATGCATTTAGATACCCCTATTTGAATTGCGTATTGAATTGCGTATGGAATAACTAACGCAGCAACTGAGAGGCATTGTTGTGTATGAAAATTTTGGCATTCTTCATATAGCTGTACCAAACCCGCAACGGACACCTTACCATACCTAGAGGCGCGTAGTAGCATCAGAGGAGGCGGAGTACATTGTGCGAACCAGCTCCGCAACTACAAACACCCTTTACATCAGACATTCCAGCTCAGGACACAAAGAAGGGAATCTTGCACCTACCGCTTTTCAAATCAGGATGTGCCGGGTCCCGCAACGCACGAATTGTGATAGCCTCTTCCTCACCAGGCTTGACGTTATACTATGTAGCCAAAACACAGTAAGCCTACAATCCCCTCTCTCCTCGCAACAACGGCATCCACAAAATTATGCCCCAGATGGAAACATTAATGGAGATAACATGGGGAAAGAACAAAACAAAACAAAACATACATCAGCCAACCCAGTCCCCAAGCCCAATTTCACAACCAACCCTTCCACCGCCTCCGCCACCAAAAGTGCATCCTTGACTACATCGCCCGTCCCTCTTAACCCAGGAATAAACGGGACCGCCCTCGCAATCTGCACCGCCTCACCTACCTTTCCAATCCCTGTCTTCTCACCACCACCACCCCCTTCCCTCGCCCTCTCCGCCATAAACCTAATCACCTTCCCCAAGCTGATACACGACGTAATCCCATGTGAAATCCCGTACGCCGAGCCAATCGCATGGCCAATGCCATGGCTAAGACCTAAGGGGCCGGAGAACTGGAAGGGGAAGAGGGCCGCGTAGCCACCGAGGAAGAGGCGTTGGCGGACATCTGCATCTTGCGGATTGGCGTGGCATTGGGGCAGGAGGGTGAAGAGGTCCGTCAGCGAGGAGAGGGCTAGCCGTTTCGTTGGGACTTCGGGGGCGGAGGGGTTGTAGAGGAGTTCGAGGGCGTGATCGAGGGCGCGGATCTGTGGAATGGGGTTAACATCCTATAAATGTAAATGTAGAGAAGGAAAGGGGGGGGGGGGGGGAACATGCGGCGGAACTTAGCCATAGCCGGGGGGGTGTATGTAGCGCAATATCCCCGTCATATATCACAGCTAAATTTTTTTTTATACGTGTGTTAAATTTAATAGTTTTCCAGGCGTGGGAATTTTCTTCTCCATCCTTCCTCCCCACTCGAAGAAGAACGTTGAATGAAGCCCCCCCCCAAAAAAAATAAAAAAATAAAAAAAATAAAAATAAACAATGCATACAACTAACCCTTCGGCACCAACTCCACGTCCGCAACCGCAACCTTGCTCCCATCTGCACTCGTAAACCCGGCGTTCTTCGTAGTCTCCGCCACGCTCAGCGTGGTCGGCACTGCAATGCTGGGTATCCATTTCGCTTCCGCCTTGCCTTGCCCACCCTTCGCATTTTCTTTGTACAAATGATATGCGACAGCTTTGGCAGCATCGATGGGCGACCCGCCACCGACGGAGAGCAGCACGTCAGCACCGGATTCCCTAACGGCCGCGACAGCGGCCTCGATGTCGGCCACGGGACTATCTGGGGATATTTTGGTTAGTGTTAAAGTATCGTTTGCTTTGTCTCCTGCACCAAACAATTATGCATATGAGGCACCAAATAGGCTCGTTGGATTTGAAGGCACGCACGCATGCTCCCGTACCCCGCTATACGTGCCGGCATGATGCGCATCACCCAATATCGCCTCAATAGAGCTGATCACTGGCGTTTTCTCACGCAGAGATTTGCCGGTGATGATGAACGCTTTTGACGCACCGAGATTGGCGATAACGGTTGGAAGAGAGGTGATGCATCCTGTGTTCTCATAATTAGTTTTCTAGTCTGCTTTGGTGCACATATATATATATATGTATAGTATGGGCTTATAGATAATGAACGGAAATACGATCGAGATTCACTTACCTCGACCGTAGAGCATGTACTTGGTTGGGGAGGCGGTATATGCTCCGTGAAGCGTGCTGTCAACGCTACTGCCTTGCATGATGAGGGGAGACATGATGTTTGAATATTTTCAGTTGCTTGTCGTCTTGTGGTGAGCTGGGTTGGATGGAATTAATTCTCTAAATTCGAACCTCATTTCCCCGGGTGTTCAAAAGTTCGAGGTTATGCGCACAAGAGCCGAGATCGCGATGAAAGCTTAAAATGTCATGAACGCGAACTTCGGCTCTGTTTTAACAGGTCTACGCAATACTCACAGCTGTGCTGATATTTGACCCTGAATAACAGGGTAAGCATGGATTGTAAACCGGTTCTCTCATGGAAAGAAAGAGAAATGATACAAAAAGGAGGGGTAGAACATGGAAGTAATAAATATATATATATATATATATTCAGATATCTAAATTGAGAGCACACCCTTTCGCAACATACATAAACCGCTCTTTAATGTACAGGACATGAACAAACTAAAGCAAGCATAACATGGATGCAGAGGAGGCATTGAGGAAAACAAGTTTTTCTTACCTTTGATTTAGAGAAAAATATAAAAAGACAGGGAAATAAAAGGAAAGAAAGACAAACCTCCCAGGTTGAAGTAGAAAATGGGAGGAAAAGGAAGAGAAGAACAATACTTAGATGTCTGATAATCACGCATTTTAAAATCAAAATCACACTTGAAGCAGAACAAATTTCAGGTACAAGCCAGAGTAATAGTAAAATACTTTTTGCTATCTCTTCTCTTCTTCACAAATCACTTTCCATATTGTCTACTCTTCATAATTCTCTAGTGCCGGGAAAATAAGAGAGAGTGTGTGTAGCGAGAGGGAGTTAAGGAGTTAAAATAAGATAGGATATGAGGGAACGCAAGAAACAACTTTTTCCGAGCCTTTGGATATCAATTTAGGTAGGTAAAGAAAATAGAATGAGGAGAGAAGAACAGATGGCGAACCAAGGATGTGGAGTAGTAGGAGAGGACGACGTGAGGGGGAGTAAAAGGGGAGGACTAAAATAAAAAGAACACGGATGGATGTAGATATCACTGGAGGTGATAAGAAGGCGAGAACGTTGAGGCAGAAGCATGAATGGCGGGGGGATTGGCTCGTAAACGAGATAGCCACGGAGAGGAACTCAGAGTCAGAAAGAGAGAAAGGCATGCGGGATGCCCCAATACAAAAAGGTTTAAGATAGACACATACATACCGTCCCATACCATCCGAGGAAAGGGAAATGAAATGAAATGAAATAGTAATAATAATAGAATAAAAAAAAACCATAACATACTCATAAATCACGTAAAAGAAGAATAAAAAATTTCGAACAAAAGTGAGGCAAAAAGACATGAACAAATCAGTCAGGGGGACCGCGGGGGAGTTCTTTATAAAAAGCGGGTGACAAATACATGAAAAAGAAAAACCATTTAAATGGGCAGCTTTTTTGTTGTCGCTAACACCTGCTTAAAACCATCCCGGCCCTCCCAATTTAAACGAGCCATCGAAAGAAAGAAACGTAAAATAGAGAAGAAACATAAGGAAATACATGGGGATTACGATTTCGTCTCTTCTGTCTTGCTATCTTTCACCGCTTCCTTTGGGTGTTTGGATGCGTCCGCAGCTTCACCTTCACCACCTTTGCTCTTCATATATTCGTCATAAACATTGATAGCCTCATCGACCTTGGCGCGGAGTGCAGCCTCATCGTCGACCCTATTATAAGTGGTGATAGCATTAGTATACTGTTCATGCGACATTGATGATGCATAGTCGGGTCGCGAGAAGGGATTGAAACTTACAAACTAAGTAGTTCAGCATTGTCCATTTCCAAAAGCATACCAGTGATCTTGCCAGCCAGCTCAGGTTGTTGGGCTTGGATCTTGGGGTAGATGGCTTCACCAAGCATTTGTTTTTGTTGGGCAGGAGGGGCGGCACTCAAGGCCTGGAGGTTAAGGGTTGGACCGCCGGCAGACTCATCACGGGGTGGCATTCCTTGGGCTGGGCCAGCTCCACGGCCAGCTTGTCCGGGACGGGCAACCCCTTGTTGGGGTGGCATGCCACGACCCTGTGTGAAAGCTTGACCGCCAGCGCGCATGCCTGGTGCATTACCCATACTTGGAGGCATACCCTGCATGCCAGGAGCCTGGCCACGACCGCCGCCGCCCCGTCCGAATGACGCTTGGACTTGAGCAATAGCTTGAGGGTAGCTGAGACCGTTTGGTAGTCCGCCAGGGCCCTGGAGCGCACCCATGGGGAGTCCCTGGGCACCCATGCCAAAGGCATTTGGGGGCAGTTGTTGGTTGGGGTTAATACCGCGTCCGCCTTGCTGTCCTGGGAATCCGCCAGCGAATTGACCAGGGCGACCGCCCGGCATACCGGGAAGGACCATTCCAGGTTGCTGACCAAAGGCCATACCACCGCGTTGTCCAGCGTTGGCAGGAATGAATCCTTGCTGGCCTGGTGGATAGTAGACAGCGGGCTGCATGAACTGTTAAGGACAATCAGAATAAACAGGAACTCGTACAAGCGGTGGTGGTATGAAAAGTCACAAAACTTACTGGCTGGGACATTCCTGCGGCGGCAGCAACCTGCTGTTGTCGGATGGTATTACGGGCTTGAATGCTTGCCTCGAGCTGAACGGGTGATAAACGTTAGCGGATGATAAATGTATATATAGATAAACCAAGAGCGGTTCATAATCTTAAGGTGCGTACCTGGCTTTTGCGCACATCCTTCCGTTGAGCAAGTGCAACGTATAGAGGTTTGCCATTGACCATGCGCTGGTTCATCTCCGTGACAGCCTTGGACGCTTCATCAGGATTGCTGAAGCAGACGAAACCAAAGCCCTTGCTCTTTCCAAGCTTCTTCTCGAGAGTCTTCTTGCTATCGGATTTCTCAGCTTTATCGCTCTTGTCAGAGGATTCTTCTTCAGCGGACTCCTTCTTAGCCTCTTCCTTCACGTTCTCCTTGTTGGAGATCTCCTTTTCCTTCTCAGATTCAGAGCCGGCATCCGCAATAGTGTCACGCATAACTCTAGCAGATGTAATGTTTCCGAAGCCAATAAAGAGGTCCCGGAGTTTCTCATCATCGATGTCGTCAGTCAAGTTCTTGACGTAGAGATTAACACCCTGGTATTTGGATGCTTTTTCGACACGAGCGGCCTCGTGCTGCTTGCGCAGCTCCTCCTCCCGCTCGTGCTTCTTCTGCGCGCGGCCAACGTAGAGTTTTTGGCCCTTGAATTCCTTGTCATTTAGCTCTTCGACAGCGGCGGCAGCGCTCTCATGCTTGACAAAGTTCACGAAACCGAACCCTCTGCTCTTTCCAGTCTCGCTGTCGTGGGTAATTGATGCGGAGGTGATATCGCCGTATTTCCCAAACAGCTCCCGGAACTCTTCATTGGTGACCTCGGTATCCAAGTTCTTGACGTATACGTTGGTGAAGTTGGCTTTCATCTCCTCGAATTTGCTCTGGCGATCCTTCTTGGCGATGTGGTGGCCGACGAAGACCTTCTTCTCGTTCAACAGCATACCGTTAACGTGTTTGATGGCGTTGGTGGCAGCTTCAGCAGTTTCGTAGTGGACGAAGCCATAGCCCTTGGAGTTACCGAACTCGTCCTGGGCGACTTTGCAGCTGAGAATGTTACCGAAAGCGGCGAAGGTGTCGTGAAGAGCCTTGTTGTCAATAGCAGTATCCAAGTTCTTGATGAAGACATTACCCTGGCCGGTCTTGCGCAGGGCAGGATCTCGCTGGGACCACATAATCCGGCAGGGTTTTCCCTTGATCAGCGTGTAGTTGAGGTCTTCGAGAGCACGTTCACCATCGGCGGTGTTGTTGTAGTTGACATAGGCATAGCCCAGAGAACGTCTGGTGACGGCGTCACGGCACACACGAATGGAGGCGACTTGGCCGATGGAGGAGAAGAGTTCGAAAAGCATAGCTTCGGTGACGGAAGAGTCTAATTCTCCGACGTAGAGGGAGGCAGAATGTGGCTGGGTGGTGCTGGGAGCAGCGGAGTTGGGCGTTTCGCTGCCATCTCCGGCAGCGTCGTTTGCAACGTTTGTGTTGACGGTGGTGCCATTGGTCGACGATTCCACGGGGTTGGTCTCTGGGACGGGAGCGGATGATACTTCAGCGGCAGACATGTTGACGATGGAGATGGATGTCCTTTTTTATTTTTATTTTTCTTCTTCTTCTGAGATCTAGAGTGTGGGAAGAAGCAATGTGAGCTGATGGACAGAGGTAAATCAGGGCGTAAAGAAAAAAGTTATGACTGGCAAAGGGTTTCTTTGAAGAAGTTGGGAAGGTGAGAGGCGAATGTTTTTGCTTTGTGGGATTTTTTTTTTTTTTTTTTTTTTTGGGGAGGTCTGACCAGCAAAGGAAAGGAGGATGAGGGATGAGGCTGTAGCAAGGACGACAAGGCGAAAAACGACGACGTACACTGGCGATATCAGGAGGATTGAGAGTCAAAGGAGCAAGGAAGGATATCGACGGTGCGATCTGCCAAGGCAAAAGAGAGAAGATCTGTTAGCACAGTGACTTTCCGTGATAATAATATAGCTGCTTCTGCCGCTGTAGTGTGTTGGGTCTGTGGTTGTTGTGGTGATGGGGAAACCAAAGAAAAAAAAAAAAAAAAAAAGCAAAGAAGAGAGAGAACGAAGCCCGAGGGATCACAGCACAGGCTAGGAGGCGCTATTTAGGGCAATGAGATGAAGGACTCACCAGATAGATCCCGTGTGAGAGCTTTCTTTTCAGGTGAGGCGGGAGTTTTCAATTGTTTTTTTGGCCGGGTACGAGTATTTTCGACAAGGGGAAGGGGGCAGAGAGAGGCAGAGGCAACACTGGATGAGGACACACAGCGGGTTGATGAGAGGGATAGGTTACTGACAGTTGATACAGGACAGAGACGATGCACTGCACTGGCTGACACGGGAGTGTGTGTGTGTGTGTGTGTGTGTGGTGGTGGTTGTCCAGAAGACCAAGGCGGGGAGGGAAGAGGAAGAAAGGAGATAGAGAGAGAGAGAAAGACAGACGGTAGATGGCGAGGTTGAAGATAGAAAGATAGAAGAATACGGGGTGGGTTGTTGGAAAAGAAGACCACACAAGTAGCTGTGAAACCTCTGTTTTTGTCCTCTTCTTCTTCTTTTTTTTTTTTTTTCGTCGTGTTCCTTTTTTTTTTTTTTTTAATTTTTTTTGTCGGGATTAAATATTGTGACAGGGAAAAAAGAAAAATTGAAAACTAAAAAATCGAAGTTTGGCCGGAGTGAAAATTTCAGACCGCGAGACGGGCTAGTCCCAATCGGGAAGCAGCGATTTTCTGAACACGTGACTTGGACATCAGGGCTTTGCAACTCTCTCATTTCGAATAAACTTCCTACAAACTTTCCACCGGTTTAGGATAGGATAAAGGAAGATATGAGAAACAATCCTGTTTAAAAAAGTAAAAATAGGAAATTAGGAAATTAGGAAGGTACTGTACATTACCTACCTTTACCGCCATGGCCAGTGGATATTTGTCTTTTGTCGTTCACAGGGCGGAGCGGGGTGGGGTGGCGGAGTGTGGGAAAGCCAAGCGCGGAGTGATATGCAGGGGGAGAGCGGAAAGCGAAAAAAAAAAAAGGGCGTGGATTGATGAAGAAACGAGGTGATTGACAAATACATCCCGGCGATTAATGCACCACACCCACACCACCCCTCCCGGTCAAGGGCGATATATTGCCAGCAAAAATGACATGAGACCCCCTGGAGAAAGACAACTGCATGCAGATGGAGCTGTTGCAAACACGGGTCTGATGGTATGGATTAAGTGATATCTGCAATACTATTACATAGGGAGCTTTTCCCTAGGTGAATTATTTTTTGAGGCTTGCGTGTGTAGCTGATAACCTCTGGGGGTTCGAAGTCGATTCCGTCTAGCTAATAATATTAAGTACATTTTTTTTTTTTTGTTGTCCACCTCACATCGATCGATGAAATTCAGTACTTGAGTGGCTAGAATGTAGATAGGTAGCCCCTGAAAGAATTGTTTATCACTCCGCAATGAACCCAGGTTAAAAACGAAGTCCAAATCCTTCTGCAAGTCGCCTAGCACAGCCTTGAGCTCCTTTGTAGGCTTTTCAGTCTGAATCGAAGCCCCAGATTTCCGGGAGATCCATTCCATCTCAAAGGGGATCAGCTTCTCCTTGAGAACTGTGTCGTTATACTGACTCGCCGGAGTGTCCTTCAGATACTCTAAGAACATGCGCCAGCGGGGAGTATAATATCCCGATACCAAGCCGGCCCATTGTTTCTGCGCATAGTCATCAAGAACCCCAACCTCTGATCCCCAGATAGTGATCTGGTTGCGGGCGTTGTGTTCGAAGAAGTCTGCAGCTTCGGACTCATCGCCAGCACTAGCCCGGGCGGCTGAGATCCAGCTGGACAGCCAGAAATTCTCGTTCATCGATAGAACGGCATCCAGCGCTTTGAGGATAATGAGGAGCTTGTCACCGATGGGCATGAATACGGAGGCTGGCGCGCCGCCCTTGTATTTCACTTTGAGGTCTTGAAGTACCAATGTGAATGCGTCGGATAGCACTTGGCGAGTGACGTCAACTATATCATATTGGTAGGAGGAATCCCCAAAGAGAGCCCCCTTTATCATCAGTCCCCAGGCCTTGAGCATATCGGCGGGATCGTAGAGAAGTCCCTCAATGAACAGCATTGGCATCTTCGCATTGATCGATGGTGATGCAGCGAAGAGAGCATGCGGCAGAAGCGGGGCATCCACCAAGTTGGTGTTATTGTAGGCGGAAAGACGTAGAAGCTGCCAGGCTTCGTAGAGCTCACTGGGGACTGTTCTTTCGTGGCTGGAGTAACGGCGGGTAACCCAGTCATGGAAATACTGTTCTGGATCCAGCGCAGTTTTGGACCAGCCTTGGTCGAGCAGCAAGCTAAAGACGATCTCATTTCCGGACTGGCCCTCACCGGCGTTGCCAACTCCAACCATATTTGGATGTTGTGCCATTGCTTCAGCAGGTCCCTCGGTTATGTTCGCAACATGGCCGTATAATCCATGATTTCCACCAAATTCTTGGACCTGGCACCACACAAACGCTTTACCAAAGAAACCTTTGGTCTTCTTCCAAACCGGGAACGACTCTGCGAATAAATCCAAGATCAACATATCACGGAATTTCTTGCCTGCAGACAGATATGCTTCAATTCTTTCGGTTGTCCAGTAATCAGCGAAGATATAAAACAGCCACCCTTGCATTACCCACGTAGCCTCCGGGTCAACAGATTTAATAGCCTCCATTGTGGTCTCAGATACTTTGCGCAGAAACTTGGGGTCTCCGGAGCTCGGGATCATCTCGTTGAACTGGTCTAGAGTGTAGAAGTGCGTGACATTTCCATAAGCTTCGATGCTTTTCGAGATGAAGCTCTTTTGTAGGCGGACGGTATGGGGGTCAAACGGCTGAAGGAATGTCGTATTGGTGTATTTCGGATTGATCTCCGCCCATTGCGAGGCATTGACAACCTGAGCGTCCGGGAGCACGCGGGTGACAGCACGGGGCACATAGCCGGGGAATGCGGGCAAAATAGGTGTCATCCCCAGCTCGGACATCCGAGCAAGGATCTTCTTTTGGAGCTCAAACTGGGCGTCGTACCATTTGAATGGCGTGTTACCGCCTCCCCATGACCCTTGGAGGTTTCCAAAGCGATTCCATGCCAGATACGCCGGGCCGCTGATGAAGCTTCGGATATCGTCGTCTGTGAACCCGGCCTCCTGGAACACGCTTATCAGGATCTTCTCGTACCCCGTCCACGCCAATGGAAGGTTGACACCGCGAATCGCCAACCAGTCCAGCTCGAGCTCCCAATCCTCCCATGTCCACCAGGGAGTTGCATAACTGAAGGTCACTTATATGACATTGTCAATACTAGCATCACTTGTTAGGCTGAAGAGATTATACATACCTGTGTTAAGATGGTATCTCCACGGAATAGAACTCTCGCCCTTCAAGGGCTTATCGAGCTTTGGCAACTTTCGGGGCGCAAGGGAAAGACGATTGCCAATAAACCAGAAAATGTCAACATGGACAACGTCAGACAAATAGCGGTGGAGCCTAAATATAGATATTAGCAAACTTCTAACGACTGTATGCTGTAATAATTGAAGAAAGCGCACTGGATTGGGAGTTACCCTTGGAAGAGACCACTCAGCGAGTTGGCTTGAACATTTATCTTCCCATTGCAGCCAGTAAAAACGGTATATTTATCATTAGTCCAGTCATCTGACGTCCGCATAGGACCAACGAGGGAGAACTTGAAGTCATTGACATGGTTTGGTAGGCGCCTCTCCAGGAAGCGGGTTAATCCATCTGTAGCATGCCTGTCGGCTGCCTCGACGAAAATCGCGCTGAGAAGGATCAAGGGCCCAAGCAATCTCATGGTTTGAACTGATGCCTCTATCGGCGACACCTATTTGTTGAAAATTCAAAATCATTTCCATCGCCCACCGTTGACTTTATACACATACGAAATCTCGTAGCGCTTGGAAATCTCGCATGGTGAACTTCCATGGAACGGTGGGACGGCGACAATCAACGCCAGAAGATTGTGGATTGCGTCGTATCGTCCAGAAAGGAACAGTCGCATTTAACTTCTCTGGTTACACCTCAACGCAGCTGTCATCAAATACTTAATTCTCCGAAATTCTCGGCCCGTGACACTAGTACAGGGGTTCAAAACCCGAACTGAGATCCAAGAAGACGGTCAAAAAAGACTGTCCAACAACGCAGGGTTTTCGGGGAGGAAATGGTGGGGAACATGAAACAAGTCCAAAAGGGGCCGGAGCTATCTGTCAGGAAAAAGAGGTTATACACTACTGAACGCCACCAACATCGTATTACTACAATATTTCTGTTGGGGGTCCCGCGGTTGGTCGGCCCTTCTACCAGCAGTGCGCTGGTGGTGATTGAGCTCTTTTGCCCCAGTAGCCTACAACACTCGTCTAATACTCGCTTATGCTAGCTCTCTTGGCTCGCACATATATTTTACTATAAATAGCTCTATCTTTTGTATGAAATAGATATATTAGATAGTGTACAGATAATATAACAAGCAGATCTTGATACAAATAAGATTCATATGTCTTCAACATATTCATCCATGACACTCAATCCAACAGTTATGAGCCTGGTAAGCAGCATCTGAAGAGAAGCGTGATACACTGATCTCAATCCTCATTCAAATTTGACAACAATCATTCAAACTGAGAAGATTGATTCTCATTTGTATATAATTCAATCTACTTGACTGTTATACCTGATTCCTGATAAGCAGCATCTGAAGAGAAGCGTGATACACTGATCTCAATCCTCATTTGAATTTGACAACAATCATTTGAACTGAGAAGATTGATTCTCATTTGTATACAGTCTGATCTACTCAACTGTTATACCTGATTCTCAGTAAGCAGCATCTGAAGAGAAGTGTGATACACTGATTTCAATTCTCATTTGAATTTGATAACAATCATTTGAACTGAGATGATTATACACTGATTTCAATTCTCATTCAAACTGATAACTATCATTTGAACTGAGATGATTAATCACTGATTTCAATTTTTATTCAAACTGATACCTATTATTTAAAATGAGAAGATAGATTCTCACTCATATACATTCTGATATACTTGACTGTTATATACTTTGAATTCTGATCATATCTATCTGAAATACTTGACTGATATAACAGACAAGACAATGTCTAGTACAACTGTACATCTTAGCATTTCTGAAGATTGAAAACTTTGATACAAGCATATGCTAGAATATGCAAAGAACAAGAAGATATCAGACTTCATTAATCTTGACAAATCTGATATCTTCTCTGAACTAGAAGAATCTCTAAAACCTGAGTATTCAGATAAAGTCACTGTGAAGGTTAAAATAGCATATAATATCAAGATCACTGCATGGAAAATCAAATATATAAAATATGAGAAATTGAATGAAGATATGACAAAGATATGAGATGTTATATGAAGAACAGTGAATGTCACAGAGCTATAACATGTATACAGTGAGAATGATAATATGAAGAAGATTATTCATTTATTAAGAGATTAACTCTCACTCACAATCACAGATTATCAAGATAATGTGAGAATCTGATATCATGATCTCTGCAAAGCACTGAAAAATAGAGATATAGAAAAGTGATTAAATAACTGATCACTCATTGAAGATAATATTAAAGAGATGAATATAGCTGAATAATTCAACTTGAAGAAAGACTTCTTAAATGTGAATCTAGCTATTGATGCAGATTATATACAAGCATGAGCTAAGAATATCTGACATGATAAAGATGTCATATCTTTGATAGAGTTAGTTAAGAACTTTAAGAAATAGTATAGAGAAATGAGTATTTTTAAAGAAGATAAATCTATGAACTTCACTACTCTTAATAAAAGATCAGTGATATTTAGAAACTGCATCTGTGAAGCCTGTCATAGATACACTCAGTGCTATTATCTTAATTTATCAAAGAAGTCATCTGAATAAAAGGAAAATGAGAAGAAGAGAACTCAGATTGATCAAGCTCTTAAGAATCAAGAATTGAAGAGATGTATTGATTATATAATATCTAGAGATTCATTCACAAATATGAATATAATAGATGTCAATGAAGCAGTTCTAGAAGAAATGATTCTGAAGCAATTAGTTTCTCAATCTATCAATCATCAATCTATTAATTATTAATCTATCAATTATCAATCTATTAATCATCAATCTATTAATCAGCAAATCTGAAAAATATTAATGAACTCTTTACATTCTCACTTCTATCTCTGAAACTTCTGAATCTTTGATACTGATGTGAAACAGTATATATGTAATAATCAAACATGTTTTCTATTCTTTAAACCTGTGAATGAGAATGCAGAAGTCTATACAGGTGATTCCAGTACTAAAGTTGAAGATTATGAAACTGTTAGAACTATCATGATAAATGAAGCAGAAAAGCAGTTCAATATCAAACTCATTAACATAGCTTATATCTCAAATTTCCATATAAATATCATCACATGGAAACCATGTTTCTATATAGAAGACATCTATTATGATGAAAAAGACTTCAGATTGTGAAAATGTGCAGATAATACAATCTTTGCATGTGTTGAAGTATTTGAGAGGTTGCTAGTTACAGAATATAATAGTGAAACAGCTGTTTTCTCAACTATCTCAGAAAAATCCACTACTGAAGTTGATGCAGCTATCACATCACACACATCTAACATCACTATATCTGAAAAAACAATATCTTCAAATTCTTCAACTTCTACAAATCCTTCTTCTCACCTGTAAAAATGCACTTCTACAAAACCTTCTCAAAAACCTAAGATCTCTATAGCTACACAGTCTATGTGGCATAAGAGATTAGGACATTCTTCAAAAATTGTCATTCAAAATCTTGCAAATGATGCAACTGGTGTTCAAATCACTCATCAAGAAGATGCTGCGGACGAGCTTACCACTGAGCTTTGCAAACCCTGCCATCTATCTAATGTGGAAAATCAAATATCTAGATGTCCCCACGTTAGATCTCAAATACCATTTGAACGCCTACATGCGGATATCACACATGGCCCTACGCAGTGCTATAATAATGAGCATAAACATCATAATGTTTTGATCCTTCCTACACCAGATCCAACGCCAGAGCCAACAGGTCCCGATGTTGATATTAATACTCATCCAGCTGCAATAGATGATTGTACATGGAACATTGCATCTAGAGCTCACAATATCAGTGCTAACTTTGATGAAGATAATATCATTGAAGGCTGCAGAACCCGAAATCACAGAGCTGCTCATCTTATGGCAGTTGCAAATGCTAAAGTCAATTCTTTTCAAATGATCAATGAAGCATTCTCTCATTCTCATTCACACTCAGACTTCTACAAGTCTCAAAATTTATTTCCTAATACTGTTTTTACTGTTATCAACAATACATCTACCTCAACAGCATCAATTCCTTCAAGGATCCATAGATCTCAACTGTCAGATCCACCGAATCACTGGGCAGATGTTGAAAAACACCCACATCGCGAAGAATCCGAGAACGCTAGGCTTCACCTCTATGTCAGAGGATTGCTGCCTCTTCTCAAATGATCAATTAATTGTCTTCTTCTATGTGGATGATATCGTCATCCTATCCGAAAGATATCAATCTGAGAACGTGTTCAATCCGGCGATATTACAGTTGATTGGGTGCCTACGGCCCAGATGCCAGCGGATGGCCTCACTAAGGCTCTGCCACGCCAGAAACATACAGAATTCGTCAAGATGCTAGGCCTAGTTGATATATCAGATATCATCAAGGCGCAAGCAGAATAAATGGTCTATCTTGATGTAATCTCTACAGATTCATCTACACTCTTTTTTGTTGCAGCTTCATTTACACCTTCATTTACACTTTCATTTACATGTTACATTCGCTGAAGGGGGTGTGTCAGGAAAAAGAGGTTATACACTACTGAATGCCACCAACATCGTATTACTACAATATTTCTCATCATCATCAGCTTACTACAACACTCATCTAATACTCACTTATGCTAGCTCTCTTGGCTCGCACATATATTTTACTATAAATAGCTCTATCTTTTGTATGAAATAGATATATTAGATAGTGTACAGATAATATAACAAGCAGATCTTGATACAAATAAGATTCATATGTCTTCAACATATTCATCCGTGACACCCAATCCGACACTATCACATCCGTTATTTCCGCGTCGCCAAAGATCTGATAAGAGAAACAGGAAGTGTCCGACCCGGGGGGAGCCGAATATACAGTGGAGATGGAGCACAGCGAGACCTTGCAAGCGCGAGGCGTCATCGGCGATGAAAATGGGTCCAAATAATAATAATAATAATAATAATAATAATAATAAAACATGTAGGAACCCGATCACCACGGGTCTAACCTGTTCAAGGCATTGGATTGGATTAGAATAGCAGATAGCGCAAGAGCTGCGCGGACTGGTTCTTGATCGAGGGCCTGGGTACTGGACCCAGGGGGGATCGTGTGTCAAGACGGGGGCCCATTCCTGCCTCCCCAACTGCAGATGCCCGCCTCAGTGTCAACTGTAGAAGATGAAGAAGCGACTGAGATAGGAGAGGATGACGAAGCGGATGATCAAGATGGGGAGATGGAAATTCAGGAGAGGCAGACAGGGCCCGCTCTTGTCTGATATGAGCGATCCGGGGTGACACTGGGCTGATCTAGCGGCTCCCCGGGGTCTCAAAAATTCTTGGGAGGAGTGGCAGAGGGCTAGAGTTCCTCCTCTAATCTAGTCCAGCGAGGCAAAACCACACTCAGTAACACTGCCCACTGCATGGAACTCCCAGCAAGCTATCAGTAATATGGAGATCGAACGAATTCCCAAGGATATTCTCACAGCTTCTGTGTCCTCGGTCAAACGGGACATCCTCCTCATCTCAAGCCGTGCTGCCCCAGGGAGGGACGACACAGCGGGGATATGCTGTCTCCTGGTGCATTCGATATTCTTAGAGTGGGGAGCAAACTAGTAGAGATGCTTGTCAACACTGACATCAATAAAGGGTTCGGAAGAATGCCGGGGCCTTCTTAAATTCCTTACCCCTTTTCTTAACGTCAGCTCCAGAATCTCGCGTAATCCATTGACCAATAATTAGCCAAGAAGTCCATTTGCTGGGCACCATTACTGATTGTACTCTTCTCGAGCTAGGTATCTGGTGGATGGAAAAAAAAAAAAAAAAAAAAAAAAAAAAAAAGATCGAAAGAGAAGAGAAACACGAAATGTCAAAATGCTAAGAGTAGTTATTTAACCAAGACACGAGGTCTTGAAGCGGCTGAACCAGGGCCGAGCTCTCCTTTCCCCCACGCCAACCTCTACTCTATGTACTACTGTACAACGTACGTACATGTACATTACATACATCTCGTCGACCTTAATTGATTTTCCAGTTAACAATAATGGATATCTATCAATCTACTGAATGACAACTCAGCTTGAATACCACCTCAACGAGACATTCTTGTTACAGGATCTACCTTTTTCTGTCTTTTCAAATGCATGCCTGAAGCCGGCCAAATTTCAGTGACGACGTAAATAATGACACTTCTACCATGCCGGATAACTAGATTCTAGAAGGATGAATGATACAGTTTGCTAATTATTAACGAAGCTAGGAAAACAAGCTAACTTGTATGATAACCTTGACCATATACATATGTCTATGTCCCGTGGGTCCATGTGGTAGAAGCGAACAGAGATGTTATGCGAACGGGATTCAGAATGTAATCACAGAACAAAAGGAATGCTAACCTCCATATCTCAGCCGTGCTTTGGAGGGTGAAATCTAGTAGTAGGAAAGACAGTTTGATTCTTAGCAGCGTACGAATCACGGAGTATGAGATCGCTAAACTGCTCGTGCCTTGCGACCCATCCGTAGAATCGCCATAGGGTCCATGTCGTTTGATGCACAATCTCAATGGTACTCGTTAGTTATACAAAGGTCTCTCTTTTCTCTCCCCATTTCTTGCCTATAACTATTTTGAAGAATGATGCTCGCTATACCCCATAGTCCTTGCCATGTGGTATAGCAAAATAGAGTTTAATATCACGTGAATAAGGAGGCTCAAAGTAGCGCGGGTGGTGGAGTCATCTTATTGGTTGCTCTCTCCAGAGATGTCAAACTCTCATTGACTCTGTAACTTGGTATGTAGTTAACCCTAATTCTATTAAGTATCACACCCACCACCACCTGCCTTATGACCCTGCGTTTGTACATGTATGTACTGTACATTTAATAATTTATGTCATCTGTAGCTAGTTTGACGGAAATAGTGGAACACTGGTAGCCCCGGCCTGAAATTTGGAACACCTCAGTCCAAAGGTTAATGGTGTATTGTCCTGGCTGACTTAACCAACCGTTGATGAATTCATTTGAAAAAGGGGAGGAGGAGGGGGAAAGGGGGGGAGCTCAAGAAATAGGAAAATAGTGTACTGTCCGATGCTTGATGTTTGATGTCTGTCTATCAGAACCAGGGGAGAGGAAGTCGCTGTGTGGGGCAGCAAATGCAGGAGAAAATGAAAAGTGGAGGAAGAAAGGAATCAGCTCCTCTGTCATTATAGCGGGGGAAAAAAATTAAATAATTGCGTTTAACTACAAATAGCCTTCAGCAAAATCGCCACTAACTAGTCACTAGTCTCTCGTGCTAGTCTGATGTCTAATAATGCCGTCAGGGGGAAGGACTAAAAATTGAAATGAAATGAAAGCCCAAATGCACTTCGCAGAACGATTACCCCCAGTATATATGGCGAAAGAAAATGAAAGGAAAGAAAAGTAAAATGGGACCCAAAACTACAACCCTCCACCTCAGTTGTTCAGCTTAACTCAAATCAAACCCAGCCCCCGCATTAATCGCATACATCAGTTTCTCCCTCAATGTATCCCGCCGCGTATACCGCGGTAACTTCAGCAAATTCGCACACGTACTCGTGCTGGGTAAGCGCTCCTCATCCGCGCTCGAATCGCGTATGCTAAACCGCGGATTCAAATGGCTGAATCCCAACAACGGTGCGCGGGGCGTCGACGTCACGAACTTGAGCACCTTCTGCCTGTCTGCGTTCGTCATCGCGTGTAGCACTTCCCAAAATAGTTTGATTGTGGGGTGTTCCTGGTTATCGTCGCCGATCACGTAGACGCCGCTGTAGACGGTGTTACGCCGTAGGTCGGCCACGTCGATCTCCCCCGCGTCTCCGCCGATGAGGGTTTGGAGTTCGGACTGGTTGAACATGGATAGCCAGGAGGGCTGGATGATGGTGCCGAGGCCCTGGAGGAAGGCGTTGGTTTGTTGGTAGGGCTGTGCTTGGAGACGGTGGCGGGCGATGTAGGAGATGTAGACGAGTCGGTTTTGGTTTGTCACAGGGATCTCGGAGCCGTGTGGCTTTAGGTCTCTGGTTATGCTTTCTGTGATTGTCTCGGTGGTGCCGTCAGGTTTTTCAATGGGAATGTCTATAGTATCTGTGAGAGTGAAGTTTAGAGAGAAGTCTTCGACGTCTCCAGGGTAGTTTTTTAGTTGGAGCTGAGGATGAGGAAGGGGGTTGTTAGCAAAGAGGTTCAGTAGTTTCAGTTTCAAAAATGATTCTTCCAGGGAAGCAGTTGGTTAATTGAGGGCAGCTAGAAACACAAACGGACTTACCAGTCCCTGGTATAGGCTTTCGTCGAGATCCCGCACGTCATTGAGATTAGCACGATACGAAGACTCTTTGCGCGCCGAGCTCGTCCCTCCAGTCAGGGCCCATTTCAAAAGAAAGAACCCCGCGAAGCTGACATCCACCAGAATCCCCTCATAAAGACATTTCCCGATGATACGACCTAGAAACTCGTACCGCTTCAATAATTCTTTAACCTCTGCATTCATGGTGACGCTTCTGTCGGGAATTCCCTGTCGCCGAAGCTCAGCCTTTCGCTGTTCTATGAGTGTAGGGTTCGGGTACAATAGGTGCTGATCGTTTTCGATAAAAAGGCTGGAGGCACCCGATGGATTGAAGGCGTCATTAATCACGCTCGTGAGAAATTCCTTGGTGACACCACCACCATCGATTCCTGCTTCTGGCGTGCCAAATTTGTCGATAAATGAAATCTGTATCGGTTCCTTCAAACCGTCCCCTAGCTCGTAGAACTGTTCGAACGCGTCCTGGAACAGCGATTCTCGTCTTATGTTCGCATGATGCTTGTTCAAGATGTCATGTCCTATGGGCCTACCGTCACTGCCCAATCCCATCAGGCTATGAGCAACAGATAAGCGCCAGGAGTCGGGGTCGATATACCCCCTTCTTCTCTGAACTTGGTCTCTAAAGATAAACTCCCGGAATATCTGCACACGGGTGGCGAAAGGTATGAAAAATGGTATGTTCCTCAAAATTTCCAGCCGCGGGGCAACAGCCTCGAGCTCTTTCCTCCGTGCGACTTGCTGTTGTCGCTTTCTAAGCTCTTCGATTCGGCGAAGCTGCTGAGCCCTTCCGGTCCCTATCAAGCCCCGGGAGTGGTCATAATCGTCATCCATTGTGTCATCTGGCGTCTCCTCATTGTCATCATCGTCATCGTCATCATCTTGGAGCTGATTTCTATTTTCCTCCTCAGCGACGACCGTAGGAATGAACCCTTCCATATCTAAGCGGTCGACCATAAGCCAATGGCCGTCAGGCAAAAATTTCCGCCTCGAGCTGGACAGCTAGTTAGTAAAACGTAAGCGAATTTATAGATCAAGACGAGTGAAAACTTACTCTCTTTCGTGTACCATGCGTAACAATCCCGTCACTAATCCTTTGAAATATTCTAGAGGTATGCCAGTAACGCTCATTAATGTTCCGCTCTTGGATTTTAGGGTTGAGGATTCCGGCTCTAGTTTCGTAAAACGGGTACTGAAGTAATTTCGGATGCCGCTGGGGTCAGTGGTATCTACATTCGCAGAGGTCAAATCCGCCGCATTCCAATATAGTGTGAACGCCAAGTTCTTCAAGAAAAGCGTCAAACTCTTAACATCATCAAGTGGTAAAGCACTCTCCTGTGTCCAGGAAGCATTCGAGTTTGTAGTTCTTCCTAGCGAAGGAGTGGCAGAAAAGAATTCTTCATCGTCCAAAACTTTGAGAAGAAAAGTATAAAGCTCAAGAAACAGGAGAATGATTGTCCATTCTTGATCTTGATCGCTGCTTTGTTGGACTGTTGGACTTGCGCCTTGGGAGCTAAGTGTAGAGCCTGCTTGAAGCATTGCCAGGACATCGCGCGGCTTTTGCGTTATATTTAGAAATACCTTTGTTGATCTAGATGCGTTCCAAAAGTACTTGATAGCAGGCAATCGACCAGACGCTGAACCCCCATCTACTCCTGTTTCCATCGCGGAACCTAAGTAAAGCCACATGCGTATTTCGTCACCTCTCTTGGGAAATGCTCTTAAAAGCGTTAGCGCATAGGCTGCTAGGGCTTTTGCATCATCCGACGCCTGTAAGTGTAGCTGAGAAGCTTTCTTAGTTGAAACCCGACTTGATGCTGCCTGGCCTAGAAGGTGTGTGATGCTGTGCTGGTCGACTAGGGTGAGGAGTTGGTTTCGAACGAACGGAGGAAGAAGCCTAGCCTGGGACTTTTCCTCGCCATCAAGCCGACGAGATATGTCACCAGAAACTGGACCGAGTAGGCCGGACACGACCTTAACAAACAAAGTCTCTGGAGCCTGCTTGACCACACCATTACCCTGAGCGTGTCGATGGAAGAAGATGAAATAGGAGAGCAGCCACAATCGTTTGTCCACATCCGTTGACTGGAGAAAGAAATCTGCGAACGGTAGGATATGTGAATCTATCGCGGAAGCCAGAAGTTTATAGTTTATCCCAGTGGCTAGGTCACCTAGCGCTCCAAGATGGCGGTCAAGAGACGGAATTGTTAAGAAGACTCGTCCGAACCACCCATAAGCATCGAGAGTTTCCGATGTGATCGGTTGAAGGAGGGCGAGTACGCTTTTCACCACCATGTCTCTGGTTTGACTAGTATTCAATGGGGAGGACTGGAGGTTGAGAGCTATAGCAGCTAGAGCAGAATAATACTGTTCAGCCTGTCGAGTCATCTGAGTGGGTATCAAGGTAGACAGAAACGATATAAGCTGGAGGAGATCGTTAACCAACGATAGAGATGGTATCGACGAGGGTATTATGGCAAGGAACTGAAGTGCAACTCCTCCGAGGCGGCCAAGTGTGAGCGGCCATTCTCCGTCAGGCTGCAGAACCGGAGCCTCTTCCAGAGTCATTTGGAAAGATTTTGCAAAATATGATAGCCGGGACCAGTCATCCTGATCCTTAATCGAAACAAAACGCAACAGTTTCCTAAGTTGAGACAAGCAATCCGTAGGATTCGTGTAGGGCCGCAGCGAACCCATCCACACTGGGGCTCCTACATCCGAACCGGGGATGACATCGGAGCCTCTATTTCGTTCCACATTATCCCACTCTATTCTCCAAGCATCTTTGATTGCTTTTCGGGCCTTGTATCCTCTCCATGTCCGTTGTAGAATGCGGCTTGCCTGCAAGCGCTCTCTGTCTAGTCGTCGCTGGCGGCGTTCCTGCTGAGCGAGGGCGAGGGTTGCCTGCGGGCCCTGGCCGGCGGAGCCATGACGTCCGGAAGAGTGTGTAGAAGGGATAGTTGGCCTGTTTGAGAGGTTGACCTGCCGTGGTCGTCGCACCTTTCCAGTAAATGACTGGAACATGGTTGTTGTGAAAGCTGTTGTAGAGGGGAGGAGAGGGGAGAGCAGGAAACCTAGTCGAGAGGAATATATTTAGATGCTGAGTGGTGGCGGGGAATAGCGCAGGACCATGCGGCAAAAGTGACCCATGCTTCAGAGAGTTGGGCCTTAGCTGGACATGTTCATGCTCATAAAGAAAACGGAAATATTTGTGGTGGCGTTGGTCTCGCGGCGATGGGGTTGCAAATTCGAGAATCTCGGATGTTGAAGGTATTTAGTGTGTTGGTCGGAAACGTCATCGGCCTAAATCGTGCATATTTAATCTGCATTCGCTGACAACAACACATATGTCACCCTCTGAAATGTATACAACGCAATGTATTGGTAGGAGAACATAGTGATAGTGAACTTCTATGATATAGATTTGTTGTAAAGGAAAAATTATCTTGGTAGTCCTCGAAGGAGTACAGTTCCAGAACGTAGATTTTCGTTTGCCAGGCTGTAAATCCATCCCCATTGCAACTCAAACTGTCGATAGATTTTTATACATGCTCATTTTCCAGTTTATACTGATATTGTTTGCCTACAGTAAGTACGTAAAAGGCATACCAGCCAAAATCCTCGCGACTATAATAGAGACTGATACCTTGAAATCTTTTCAATCAAAAACGAACAAAGTTGTGCACAGAGCCCCATAAGCATATCCCCAGGGAGATGGGGAAATAGAAATGGAACACTTTCTCCCTTATTTTTCATGTATATAAACCCAGTAACCCATTTCGCCTGAAACCTCTAACGATAGAAAAATGAACAATGTAAAATGGATATTGTACATGACGCAAACAAAACCAGGATCTTATCTGCAAAGACTGACTGGAAGAAGGGCGAGACCAAGTGAAATGTCCAAATAAATAATCCCCAATATCCCCCCAGTACCCAAGAGCGGAACTAGCGGACCGTCTGCGAATGGTCAATCGTACGGAAGCGAACGAGAGTCGCATGAGGGTTGATGTAGAGACGCCAAACAACAATTAAAGCCGAACAATAAGAGTCTATGGGTCTTGCTTGCTTGGTGGGTGATGCTAGCTATTATCCATGTGTGTGCCTGGATTGGTTTTTTGCTCGGAAGTTGTTTGCTCCGCATGCTGTCCGTCTGACATGGCCGTGTCCTCTTGGCCGGACACCTCTTCTCGCCGAATCCGTTCCATTTCATCAGACTCCAGCTCGTTATTTGCGTACCAGTCATCGAGGTAGTCTTTCCCATTCATCCCCCGTGGCACCTCCACTTCCCGGTCGCCGATCATTATCGTCTGCGTGTAGTGGGTTCTGGTAGGCTCCATTCGTTTCGTCACGAAGGGAGTAAGCTATTGGGGGGGAAACCCAGTGCGAAGAAGGGATTCAAGTTAGCAATCAAGTATCATGAGGCCGCACAAAGCAGGAGATTGGTGCATTGGCGCATCGGTAGGGAGTAGGAAGAAATAGACGGGATGAAGGGGAGGGGAGGGGGTAGGGTAGGAGTGGGCGCAAACGATAGAATCGGACCTTAAATGTATCAAGTCCCTCTGGGACGACATATGTGCGCACTTTCCGCCAGTCGATAAAGTATGTGCCTTTCTTCCTGCCGAAGTAACCAACATTGCCCGTCCGGTTACCCTTGTAATAGCCTCCGCCGACTTGCTTGGTGGTCAACCGCAGCCGCGCATTCAAGCTTCTTGTAGGTTTAAACATGATCAAGACGAGGTGGGAATGGGTCCATCCAAGGTCGAATGACCAAACATAGGCCTCCAATTCGCAAACGGTCGTAATAGCGCGGATGCTGAGATATCGTGTTCCGTTCGGCGGGTGGTTTGTGTTCTTGTCCTCGTCTTTGGCTGTTCCGCGAGAAAGCTTGACTAGCGCCGATTGAGGAACCGAGAAACTTTTTTTTCTTTGGGATATTTCGAATGGCCCCAGTTATTTACTTACGCCAAAATCACAAATAAATTTCACTTTTCCCAACACCGTCTGTTTTTCCGCGTGTTATCCTCTTCTCCCTCGGAGCGGGATTAACCATAGCTATGGCTAGACGATCTAACCAGCTCCGGTCCAAAGAGGAGCCCCGCCGCTCGAAACCGAAAGGAACGAAGAAACCATATACGCGGGGCGGTCTGGATGCCTTAACAGTTGCGGAGAAACAATATCCCTCGAACTCTGGGATTCGAAAGCATCGCCTCGGGGTGGAAGAAGATGACGGCTCGAAACGGAAGAGAGGTGGTACTTCTAAATTTGACGATGAGGAGGAGTCGCACGTTCAACCTTCCAAGCGACGGAGGACGGGCGACGATGAAGACTCAGAGTCCAACGATAATTATGGAAGTGATAGCGAGGGGAATGAATGGCAGCTAGGTCGGGTCGATTCTGATGATGACAGTGAAATCGACAGTGACGAAGCCATGGGTGAGAGTGACGAGGAGAATTTCGATGGGCGTAAGGTTGGTGGGAACTCGAAGGCCAAGGCGAAGTCTACTCTGAGAAAACGGGATACCGACGACTTCGATTTATCAGAAGGTGATGGGGAAGAGCTGGATGATGACGATGATCTTGGGGAAGACGCGGTGGATCTTGCTACGGCCTGGGATATGAATGCAGAGGAGTCGGAATCAGACACGAAAGCGAAAAATAAGAAATCCAAAGCGAATTCTAAGTCTAAGATTACGGAAGAAGAAGAAGAAGAAGAAGAAGAAAACGATGATGATATTATTGATATAACTGGCAGCGAGGGTGAGGGGGAAGAGGATGACTCTGACGACTCTAGAGACGATGCGAGCGATGCGTCTGGACTATCGTTTTCCGACGAAGACGATTTGAACGAGCGTGGCTTGTCAAAATTACAGAAGTTCGTCAAATCTATGGAAAATGGACAGTCCGACGACGGTCAATCGAAGCTGAAGCATCGGGCCATCACTCATGGCGCCCAACCTACGGAGTTCGGTCTCATGCCCACCAGGAAGCTTACTGTTGCCGATCTTATACCAACCATTTCCGACTCTCGCATGAAAGGGTCGTTGAAACATCTGGACGCCGTTGCCTCAACGAAGAAGAGCAAAGCCGGAATACCCGGAAAACTGCAAGCGCCTCTTGCTAAACGCCAGCAGGATCGTATCGACCGTGCGGCAGCCTACGAGAAGAGCAAAGAGACCCTTGATCGATGGATCGAAACCGTTAAAGCCAACCGAAGAGCTGACCATCTGTCATTCCCCCTTCCAGAACCGAACGCCATACAGCAGTCATCCATTACTGATGCAAAACCACTGAATGACCTTGAGAGCACTATTCAAAATATCCTTGTGGAGAGTGGCCTAGCGGATGAGAAGGATAAATCTGGGGAGGCTCGAATTCAAGAATTTGAAGAGTTACAGGCGAAAAAGCTCCCCTTGGAAGAGATACAGGCCCGTCGCGCGGAGCTACGAAAGGCTCGAGAGCTACTTTTCCGCGAGGAGGTGCGGGCTAAGCGGATTAAGAAAATTAAGAGTAAATCTTACCGTCGCGTTCATCGCAAGGAGCGGGAAAAAATGGATCTTAGAGAGCGGGAAGCTCTTATCGCTGCAGGAGTTGATGTCGATGAAGAGGATCGCGAAATGCTTGACCGCCGGAGAGCGGAAGCTCGAATGGGAGCGAAACATAGGGAAAGCAAATGGGCTAAAAGCCTTAAGCAGACTGGAAGGACTGGTTGGGATGACGAAGCACGACTGGAAATGGCGGATCTGGCTAGGCGGGAGGAGGAGCTGCAGAGCAGAATAGAAGGGAAGCGAGTTACTACGGGTCAGGAAGAGTATCTAGACTCGTCAAGTGAAGAATCTGAGAGCGACGATGATGCCGCTGAGGATGGGTTTGGGTCAGACGCTGAGACAGAACGTCTTAAGAAGAAACTCAACGAGCTCGACCAAAACGGAAATGCCACAGAAGAGCCGATGACGGGGCCACATGCAGCTTTACTGTCCATGAAATTTATGCGGAATGCTGAAGCTGCGCGGAAGGCTCAGAACGATGCTGAAATCAAAAAGCTCCGCCGCGAGATGGGCAATGGGGATGATTCACAGTCTGATAATGATATGGCAGAGATGGGCCGTCAGAAATTCGGCCAAAATGCCACCACCAATAAACCTGCTGTTACAGCTCCTCAACGACAGGAATTTGAGGAGCCAGATTCAGAAACGGACGAGAAAGTGCGCGCAATGGAGTCTGATGGAGAAGTTGAGATTAAAGTAGACGACAACAACCGTGCGCCTAAGTCTACGACACGCAACTCGCGTCCCCCTAAGAAGCAATCTAATCAAACCAATGGCCGCGCAACTAAAGATAATGATGCTGATGTCGACAATCCATGGCTCGCGCAGCCCAAGAGGAATTCAAAGAAGCAAAATGACTCATCCGACGGAGCAGCTGACATTAACTTGATCGGCAATGATGCTGTTGAAAGCGGTCCTTCTCAGTCCCTCTTGTCAGCAGAACCCAAACGAGGCAAATCGGCCAAAAAGCAAGTAGCCGTCAAATCACACGACAAAACTGCCCCTTCTGCTGGTACCGCGGGCAGCGAAGATGAAGATGACGACGACGATAATACACGTGTACCCGTCCTTCTCAAAAATGCAGACCTCGTCAAGAAAGCCTTTGCAGGTGACGAAGTGCTGGCCGACTTTTCCAAGGAGAAACTGCAAACAATCGAGGAGGAGGGTGACCAAGTCATCGACACCACACTGCCCGGATGGGGATCGTGGGCCGGGGCGGGACTGACGAAACGCGAGAAGAAGCAGGCGAAGGCGAGACGCTCCTTCGTGACGGAGGAGGGCGTCAAGGCTGAGAAACGCAAGGATGCGAAGCTTGATCGGGTTATTGTTAATGAGAAGCGGGTTAAGAAGGTATGTAAACAGCATATGCGGACTATTTGTTTTAGCTTTTCTGGAAATATGTGAAATATGTGAAATATGGCTGGCTGGCTGGTTTGCTACAATTACTAACAATACCAAACAACAGAATACCAAATATCTCGCCTCCCAATTACCCCACCCCTTCGAATCAAGGCAGCAGTACGAACGTTCCCTCCGGCTACCCATCGGCCCTGAATGGACGACCAAGGAAACGTTCCAGAACGCCACGAAACCGCGCGTCATGCTCAAGCAGGGTGTTATCAAGCCGTTGCAGAAACCGCTGTTGTGATCTGTGGCTACAGTGCTGCGAATGAGTTTTACAAAGTTTATGTGGATTTTATTTTATTTTATCTTCTTCTTTTGGTTGGTGTTGGAATAGAGAATCTGCCACCTGTTATATACATCGTTGTCTATTTGTAGGAAGGAGTGGTCTTTTTTCTTACATAGTATTTTCATTTCTACTTGGCATATCCGCCGATGAGAATGTCCATGCTAATTATGTGCACAGGGGAAAGAGAAAAGAAATAAATATGATGGGAATATTTAGTAACGACATAAATCGCGATATCCTTTCGATATGCCTTTCATTCCCATTCCCCAACCCCCCCTCCTCTTCTTCCTCAACGCACTTCCAGAGATGGCAAGGGGAAAAAAAAAAAAAGCTCACATGGTAGTTATGTTTTGTCATTCCCGGTTTAATGAAATGGAGTACACTTCTCTTTCACCCCGTAGTACGGTATTACTACATACTTTCTACTCATTCCTTTCGGCGAAGGGCTAAAATTGAGATTCACTGGTTTACTGCAACCTAACCGTAACACCTGCCTTGCGCATCGACCCAACAATACAATGGAACACACACCCCTGATATAGCCTCCGGACGTTGGTAATTGTACTTGTGAATCTTGGGAAAGGTAAGAGTGGGGAACCGTGGTAGGGTAGAGAGAGGGCAACGAGAGGGTAGCAAGCGCCTTTGAGTTTTTAGTAATTCCACGGGTAGAAGGCTTTAAGCCGGAAAGGGGAAAAAAATCTTCCACTTGATTTTATATGTGTATATATATATATATTTTGCCCCAAACCTGCTTGGCACAACCTGGGTTATTATCAATCTACCACATCCCATCTATGTTTTTCGAGTGTGTATGGTGATGATATCAGCTGGGACTGCTGGGACAGATATGCAATGGATAGATATGTGCAGTATGCAGAGCTGTGTGTTGTGCATCGGAGTAGCTCTTGAACTTGGTTCAACTATAACCCCGGGTTCCGTACAAGGGATGCTGCCTTACAACGGATTCCTTGGATATGGATGGGATGGAATGGTTGGATGTCGATTCATGGTCGGTTGGTGGCTGGTTTGCTTCAAAAAAACAACCTTGTCTATGGCAGTCTATAGTGACAAATTAATGATAACTACTGATTGTATTAGCAATCAAGATCTCCTCATTGGAGGTTGATTTACTCTGTACTCTCTCATCCATCTCTGTGCTCAGAAGTCTCTATACCAGGGGGCCGCTCTATACCCAGGGGCTCTATACACAGGAGACCTCTACTCAGAGAGTCTCTATACTCAGGAGACTCTATACACCTATATCTATATTATCTGAGGATCTCTATACCCAGAGCAGGAGAGGGCTCTATCTGAGGAGATTCTACAGAATTATACTTACGTACCGTACGCAGTATGTAACCATATACAGTAATATACTAACTGCATTAGGACTAGTGTAATTGATGTGTGACTATAAAATCAGTCTTCCACTTTCCGATTTCCAAGATCCGGTCGTCGGGCCAACGGCGGGCCAACACTGTAAGCAGAGCAGAACAAGTCCAGCGCGCATCAGGGAGTGGCTGAAAAGGGAGGGAGGGAGGGGTATGCGATTTGATTCTGGGGGAGAGGGTGTCATAATGTAAGGATCCTTGGAGGGTTGGATCAGTTGGATGTGGTCATGATCTGGTTGTTGTTCTGCATCCCCCGATATCACAATATCACATTTAGAGTTGGGGGGGACCTGAGTCCAGGTAAACTAACTACGGAGTAAGTAAGCTTTGAGTTGGTTGGTTACAAAATGGTTACTGCGTATTTAAATAGTTGAAAACGGGAAAATCAAGATTGGTCACCGGATAGCCAGTATGAACGAACATGTAGATGCAGCAACTCTTTTGTTATTCCTGCTATCCAAAGTTTTGCGTGTGTAACTAGACAAATGATATCAATATCTGATAATTTAACTTATGTATGTAGTGATGTACTCCGTACAGCATACAGCATACAGCATACAGCATACAGCATACAGCATAACAGCATACAGCATCAGTTAAATAGTTACACCAACCAGCAGTGGCAATATGCTCAGTTCGACAACAACCCTCAGCCTCACCTTTCTTTTTATTATATACGGGGAAATATAGCTATTAACTGTTTATCTGATCTCCAAACCCCAGCCAGCTGATAATCTCGTCAGAAAGAAACCCGAGAAAGATGATCGATCCTCCGCTTTAATTTTTTAGTTGGTCTCCGGCCCACATTAACTTACTGCGTATTAACCATATGGCCCTAGGGTAGGGAGGACCTTGGTTTCAACATCACTCGCCACGAATGATGATTGTCGAATGGATGCTTGATATATATATGCTTCCTTTTGTGATTTCATCATGCCTGCCTCGTGGTGAATGACCCCTCCCCAGTTGATATCGACGAGGGAATATATAAAGCAGGCTGGATATCCCCGATGTATCATCATACTAAGCTAGCCTACACCACATATTTAGCTGATTCTGCTCTGGTGTAAACTTGGTGATTGATGAGTGTTGAAAGGTGAGCGACTCCTTTCTCTCCTTTCCGTTGACAATTAGGCTCATTTCATTTCTTTTGCACCCGCCGCTCTGGCATTTTGACAAATGGCCATTTATCATGACACACCGTCATATATCAAGGCCCGCCGCGGGGCAGTTCGCTATTCTTCCTCCGTACTGTGTCTCTACAGCTATGCTGTTGAATTTTTTTTATTTTATTTTTTATTTTATTTTATTTTATTTTGATTTTCCTCAGCTGTTTTTTAAGCCTGTCTGTATTTGCTTTTTTCTCATCGCAGCGGAAAATGCTTCGCGGCGCGGGCATTCCCGCCTTCCGCCTTTCCTCGCAGCGGATGGCGTACATCATCACTAACTAAACTACATTATTAGTGTGTGTACATACATTTGTCAATAATAAATAGCAAGGCCTCGTTCTCGCCTTCCGCCCTTGAGCCTCCGTCCGCATCTGTCTTTCTCTATCTTTACATCTATATAATACTCTCTGTCTGTCTGTCTTTCTGTCGCTCGCTTTGTTTTCTTTTTTTCTTTTTATTCTTCATCTCTCTCCTTTTCCTCATCTTCACCCTCGTTTCCTCCAATTCCCTTCTGTCTTGTCCCACCCTCTTTGCGTTCTTCGTTTTTGTCTGTTGTCCAGCCCTTTTCTCGTTTGAGGCTGTTCCGCTCTCTACCACCCACCTGCACATCGGACAACAATCTGATGATTGCGACTTGGAGTGGCTACGGAGGAGGTTCACTGTTGTGTGTTCTGGTTGTCTCAGGTCTACTTTGCCCGGAGTCCTCCATGATAACAACATTCGTTCCCTATATCACCCAATCCTAACTCGTTCTTGTCCGGGCCCAAAACCATTGGCTGTGTCAGAGCTTTCCCCAGGGCCTCAAACCATACTGGCTTTCCTCCATTGAGTCTGTGTCGTCGGAAGATGACACCCTCCATGCCACTATGGCCTGCGGCCATCTTGATAATGGCCATGCTGCACTTCCCTGCAGCCCATGCTCTTCCTTGTCGGTCGAATTATCAATGTGTTGTGGATGTCGACCAAGCTGACAACCTCTCCTTTTCCCCCATAACTCAGGTACCAACAGCAACTGTAGTAGCACACGGCGATACTACCGGGGTGGGTAATCTTTTTTTTTTTTTTTTTTTTTTTTTTTTCCACTGTCAACATTCTCTTGGAATATACACCTATTGACTTTGACCCTTAGATATATTTCACCCAAATGGAAAGTGACGTTCGCTCATACAGCCAACCTTTTCCAACAGATATCTCTTACATCGTGTTTGAAGACCATATTGGACTGCTTCATCCAGGCGTTCCGCACCTAGATAGCGTCCCATCTGCAGTTCTCTCGTCCAACTCAAATTGCTATTACAAAGGACATCTGTGTCCAGGCCTTCCTCACGTGGAAGAGACTCGGATCGCAAATTGGCTCCTTTCCCCGAGCACAGCTTCTTTGAACGCAGATATTTCGATCGGTATAACAATACCTCCACCTCCCCCATTCCTGGAGTCTTCTACCGCTAGCTGCTCCCCGCCATACCCGATAACAAGCTCAAAATCAAGTTCTCTTGCGCCAATTGTACCTTCCCCGAGTTCCTCAACGCCAACAGCGACACCCTCCCCTAAACTGCCCTCAATGTCAGGCCAGAACATATTCGAACCGATTAGCAGGGATCAAATCCCGCAGAATATTCCTTCAAGAGATGATCATCCTCTTAAACGGGATAATATCGTAAGTTGTGCAGCGTACCTTCAATTTTGAATTCATATTAATATTCATTTACAGTCAGATACGCCAGGGCCAGTATCTACGAACAAGTTTTATGCAAACTTCTTCATTGGTTCCCAGGCAAACTACGGGTTTGTCCAACCGTACGCAGTCGGGTGGGCTAAGGGAACTGGTTCTGTAAAAAGTTACGGCCTCACTATATCCCATACGGAAGCCAATCAGCTCGCCTTTGGCCCCAAAAACCCAAAGATTCCTGGTGAACCCGTCCAATTCTATATTAATCCAATTGGAATTCAATCCATGATTTTGTCTGCAGCTGAAATAGGAAGCTCTACCGTTTTAACTGTTTCGAAACCTCTGGCGTTCTCGGCAGAAATTATTCTCCGCCCCAACCGTGACTCGGACTCTAACATTACTTTCCCTCTGGTTCAAGGCATGGGATATGTGACTGGTGTCTACAAGGACTTACAGCCCGCGATTCAAAGTAGCGTGTTTTTCCGCCAACTTGAATCTGCACCTTCTCCAAAACTAGGTATATTTAAATATAAGGTCATTTTGGAGGATAACACAAATTGGTTGATATACGTAACGCCAGCAGACGGTGCTGATCCAAGACTGAAGTTGGAAAACAACGGCCTTATCAATGGACCAGCTGGATTCAGCGGTACGATCCAGGTTGCCAAAAATCCCAATGGCGGGCCAGGGGAGACGATTTTTGATGGGTCTGCGGGGGTGTATCCTATGGCAGGCAATATCACAGGTTCTGTCGTCGCCCAAGACGCGACTGGGACTTACAGGTTAGCCTGGGAGAAGGGTGGGAAGGATGTTGACAGCACCCCGTTGTTAATGTTCGCCTTGCCTCACCACGTTCAATCCTTTGACAGTGAAACCCAAGGCAGGAAGGTAGATCTGGTTCTGCGAACGACCACCAAGGGAATAGCTACGGCTGTTGTAGCAGATTTATGGACTATGGTCGAGACTGATCTTCCTATAGACATGGGATTTGCCCCCTGGAACCCGGCTGGAACTAGCGCTACCCTCTCAAGGCCTGCGAAGCAAATGGTTAAAGATATAGCTCCAAATGAGCTCTCCCAAGACATACATCAGCAAACGAACCTGAATAGTATGTACTTTAGCGGGAAGGCTTTTGGGAAGTTTGCTATGGTGGTGTATGCTGTCCGCGAATTAGCACAGGATGTCCCTCTCTCGGAATCCGCCTTTGACACGTTGAAGGACGCTTTCGCAACGTTTGTTAATAACGAACAGCAATGGCCGCTTGTTTATGATAATGTGTGGAAGGGGATTGTCTCTTCTGGGACTTACGAGACAGGAGACCCGGGGCTCGATTTTGGAAATACTTTCTATAACGACCATCATTTCCATTACGGTTATTTTATCCTCTCTGCTGCCATAATTGGGAGCCTTGATCCATCCTGGATAGATGCGAATAAGGCCTGGGTAAATGCCCTCGTCCGCGATGCTGCCAATTCAGTGTCAGACGATCCATTTGTTTCCGTTTTTCCAGAGGATTTGACTGGTATAATGGGGCATTCCTGGGCCAAAGGCCTATTTTGAGTCTATTGAGGGGAAAGATCAAGAGTCTATCTCAGAGATACTATGTTCGCATACGCCGTCAAGATGTGAGGCAAGGTGTCAAGGACCCAAGTATGGAAGCCCGTGGCAATATGATGCTGGCCATTCTTGCACGCTCGTTAAACAATTATTTCTTGATGAAGTCCGATAACGTCAATCAACCACCGAATTTCATCGGCAATAAAGTCACTGGAATTGTCAGTATTTACTTATAAAACCCCTTTGCCCTAATATTCATATTTGAATCCTAACAGGCCACAGCTTTTTGAGAACAAGGCCGATCATACGACATATTTTGGCCCTAATCTCGAATACATCCAAGGGTGAGTACAGTAACAAATACAGCTCTTGTTTGAATCGCGGGCGCTTACGATATTTAGAATTCATATGCTTCCCATCATTCCGAGTTCGGCCTACACCCGCCATAAGGATTTTGTGAGAGAGGAATGGGACGCCATGTTCTCAGATAGGGCCTCTACACCCGCAAGCAAAGTTCAGGGTGGTTGGCAAGGTGTCTTATACTCTAATTTGGCTCTCATTGATCCGGACGCCTCGTGGAATTTCTTCGCGCAGGAACCCTTTGATCTCGGGAAGATTGACGGGGGAGCTTCTCGAACGTGGTATCTCGCATACGCCGCAGGTACGTTCTAAACCGAGTGTTTCTCCTGGGTTGAAATACCTACCGTTCTTTAAGGTTCATAGCTAACGTCTAATTCTAGGTTTGGGAGGCGGTCCACATTAATCAAGTTAATGTGGTGAATTTGAGTCAATCTGCATTTTACCCAGTTCGCAGTCCGTGATACATGGTATCATATTACCGGGCTTAACGATGATTACAGATATAGATATATACCGGTGCAAGTATATTCGATCTTATACTTATACACAGCGTTCATTCGCGGTAAATTTCTCTCATTTTGGCATTTCTGTTGAATTTGATAGGCGGAGCATATATTAGGCGGGTGACAAGCTGTTTGTACATGTAAATGTCTCTATATTGGTAGTTTTCCGTACACTCGGACTCATTGATTCCGGATTAGTGCCTGAGCCCGCGCTGCTTTTCCTCCTGCTCACTCAGCCCTGCCTGCCTCACCTGCGACCTCACCATCCTCACCTGCAATCACCCCCTAGTCTCTCCACCAGTCACTCCAACCTCATCTTTCATTATATCTTCTCAATTTCTGCCAAGTCTATGTGATGCAACCACTCAGTGATGAAAACAGTGAGGATGATGATTGCAGATATCTTGTTCTCTTCTCAAAGTTTTCTGTCTTCTTCTTTATTCTTCTTATCTGCAGACTGCTGCTGTATTTCTACTAAATTATCTTTTACTGAATTATCTTCTACTGAAGATATCTGCTGCTTATAATCTTTTCACAATTCTCTATTTCTATTATCTTTTTTTTCTCTATTTATAGCATTAATTTTTTTTTTCTGTGTGTTATTCAAAGGTGTCTATGTCACACGCTCCACCACGAACTCGCTCAATTTTTTCGAATGAGAAACCGCCGATAGATCCATCGAGTAGCCCTCGATTATACAAGTATTTTGACCCCATCACTCACCTCATACCCCGTGTGGTGGTGGAGTTATTCAATCAAATGTAGTTTGAAGCTTCTATGTGAGATTTTCCTCTATCCACCTCTACCACATCACAACGTCAGGTCAAACTGCTATATAAATTGTAAGGTGAAGAGACCTAGTTCTATGCATCAATCTTCTTGATTTTGAAAGATCTCTGACTTTTAATTGTAGGAATAATTTGAAGTAAAATCTCTGTAAAAACTCTGTCTGTTTTTGATATTTCAAATCATCAATATTAAGTCTCTTTCATGTACTACTCATTTAAATCTAGCATATATTTAGCAGAAAAATACAGAAAAATATCTTAGTAACATTAATTAACACATAATTTATAAACAATTATAAAATCAATTTAACTTAAAAATTCAGTTGAAAATAAAATTTTTATAGTTAATTGATTTAAATCATACTTCTCTTTCAATCTAACTCTGAGATTATTGTACAATGTGATAAGAGTAATATTATAGAGTAGTTAATTGTATTACGAGAAGCTAGCTACTATATAGTCTTATATAGAAGCTCGTGAATCGTGATCACTGATTATGTGATTCAGTAGCTATAGTGCCCCGGTGGCCGAATGGTTAATGCGGCCACCCGGTAGCGCCTTGGTGTGGAAAACCAAGGCGTGTGGGTTCGAAACCTGCAGGGGATACATTAAATCCGGAACCCAAGCACCTCAGGTTTCTAATAAATAGAGGTGTACAAATCACTTCAACAAATCACTCTATGTTTCTGGGCTGGGAAGTTATTATTGCATGTATCTAATTGTCACTTCTTTGTATTTTTCTATGTTCTTGTTATCTTGGCATAATCTCAACAACCTGTATTTCCTTCTGTATAATCAACACTTAATCTGTATTTAACATCATGTAAGAACTCATCATAAGCTCTGCTTGCAAATGAGTATAATGAAAGAATAATAATAATAATAATAAGTAGCTATAGTAAGTGTGTGAGTAGAAGTAATTAATTTGTAAGATAGATAATCTAATATCTCTCTTAACTATTACTCTATCTGAGTAGATCTTTACAATTTAGCAGAGTAGCTGTATAACTAGAAAATGAGATTTATATATAAAATTAAAAGTGTTCTTTATTAAAGACTTCGTGGAAGACTAACAAGAATTGAAGAATAAAAATAAAAGAAAGAGTAAAACAAATGAATAAATTACTGTAGAGATAGTAGAGTGATAAAACTCTGTATTTATTAAAATATCTTTAGAGCTTCTCTGACTATAGATGTTTAAATCTCTATATTAATCAGAGTATTTTTATAAACTTCAGCTGTTAGAGCTTTTATTAAAGTGTGTTAGATCACGTGATCTGACTTACTAATTCTTTCACTATATAACTTTTCACAAGTTAGTAATCTTTCAATCACACAAGCTTTACATCTTTCACAGATTATGAGACCTGCTTTGTGTAAAATTACTGTCAATTTGAGATTTCTTATTAATATAATCATTATTTTAATTACTGCTTTATTTAATACACTTATAAGAAGTTAAAATCATTTTATTCTATCAGTATTAAGATCTTGTTAATCAAAAATATCACTGCTCACTTAAAAAGAGACTTGCAGAAAACACATCATATTTGTAAAAAAGTAAGAAAAGAGAATGATATTAGTAAGAATTCAATAAATGAATATTAAGAATTCAATAAATAAATATCAAGATAGTGAATTCATCATAATCTTACTTATATACATATTTATAATCTTATATTCTTTTCACTGAGTCAGTTGCAGTTAATGATAATAATTCTTTATACTCTTACTCTGTCAGTGAACATTCTTCTAAAGTATTTAAAAGCTCTATTAATAAACACTCTGAAACACTCTCTCAATTCAAAGCTGGTTTTGAATACAGCTTCTGATACAGTCAGGCCGGTCTCTTCATCTACTTAACAGCTTAATACTGATTCAGCTTCTATATACTTTAAGTTAAAAAAGCGCTTTATCACAAACTCACTCAATTTTTTGAATAAGAACCCGCTGATAGATTGATTGAAAAGCTCTTCATTATACATAGACTGGCCGCCGGGATCATGAATTTCACATTTGATTTCATTTGATCTGGTCTCATACATTTCTTAGCGTGAGTCTCACCAGAATCAAGCCTTAAAAAAATCTGAAAATGAATCATTTCTGAGAGAAATGACATGAAAAATGACTAGATTTAATTTAAGAACAGTGAAATGAAAGTAATTTCTCAGAATAAACTGTGAAAAATAATCATTCTTTCAAAATCAGAATGAGACTGAAACTGAAGATTAAAATCAGTCTTATTCAGTTTATTCAGTGATTGCTTATATAATCAGAATTTGATAACAATTATTGATAACACTCATGAAATAACTAAATACATTCTTGTATAAGTTTATTCTTTACTTTCTTATGAAAACTACACTTCTCTGATATACTGTGATCAGAGATATTAAACTATCTGATAATTTTATATTTTATAATCATGAGTTTCTTGATTATTTCTTCTTATAATTGTTCTCAGTGATAGTGATAAATATCTCAGTTTAAGTTAAACTTTCACTTCATTCTCATCTCTATCAATAAAATTATTAGAATATCATATATTATCAGTGTAACAGTTGAATATATACTCTTAACAATTTTTTATAACTCTAGAATTGATTTAGCATGTAAATTTATCAGATTATCTTAAAGATAGTGATTGAATTCAGTTTTACAAGTATATAGTTTTATCTGATTTTTAATTATAATTAATATATATAAGTTCTGTTTTAAAGTTAGTATTATAGTTCTATATAATATGAAGTGTTATCAAAGATTATTACTTACTAGAAAATTATATTTCACTGTTTTTATATCTCTAATATCTGCTTATTCAAATCTCTGATAGTTAATATTATAGTAGTCTCAGACTAATTTAATATATAAGTCTTATTTCTTCTCTATTCAATCTTGAGAAGTGTAGATATTAACTTGATAAGAGAGATCTAGTAGAGCTGCTACAGCATAGTACTCTGTAAAAGATTGTTCAGTTTTACTGTAGTAATATATCAGTTTATTTCTTATAGTAATAATAGTCTGTGCTATAACATCATTTCAGACTGAATTTCTTTTTAAGTGATTCAACTGCTTCTCAAGATAAGTAAATAAACTGTTATACACTTATCAGACTGACTGCTGCATTAGTGTATAAGTGATTGAGACTGTTTTTATTATCTTATAAAACTAAAATAGTAAATCAATCACATATTTCAACTAAGTTCACTTTATATCAGAAAGTTTCAATATCTGAATCTTTTCTCAATCAGAGTGTTACACTCAATGATCAATTGTCTGATATAATTGAAGAATCTGAATAGTTATCTTATATATTGAACTTCACTGTGTTCTAACATTGTGTATCATATTCAGTGATGTGACTGATTTATTTATTTATTGAATATCATGAAATTATTATTATTATTTAGAGAAGATATATATCATATTAGCAATGTTTTGAATCTGTAATATTTAAATTATTAATCAATCTATTCAAAATTAATAGTAGTATTATTAAAAAGTATTATTAAAAAACAATATTAAAAAGTGTTATTAAAAAACATTATCTTTTACAAAGTGAATATAAAAGTTACTTGAGTAATTATTTTCATTTCATTCTCATCTTAAGAATCAGTCATCTCATTATTCTTCATCTTAATATTAAGATTCTTTATCAGTGTTTGTATCACAAGTTGAATCACATGAGTAATATAGAGAATATAACCTTATTTATTATTTCAGAAATACAAAGTCAATTTTTACTTCAAGCTGTTTATTATAGTGTAGTTATTTACAGTATTATCAGTTGTAATTGTAAGAAGACTGAGACTAATATCTTAATAGTTATTTTTAATCACAGTTATTAATATCTCTGTCATATAATTCTCAGTATGACTACTGATCAATGATTCAAATTCAATTAATATCTCTTAATAAGTTCAGTTCTCATCAATATAATAATATGTAACTCTTAAAAATATAAGATTATTTATACTAGTTCATGCATTCACTGTGAGAGACACTCTTTGATGATTCTTCAACTCTGATTCTAGATATTGTATATTGACTTTGTAATGTATCTTGAGATTGAACTGAAGACAGAATTGATCTAGAATATGAAGATTTGAATTAAGTATTTGAAGAAGTGTTCAGAATTCAGGATTTTCAATTGATTGAAGAGAAAGATTCAGAGATATATATATATAAAGTAATTGTTCACAGAAGTTATCAGATAAGAGTTATGAAATCAGAGTACTGATATATAATTATTTTCACATGATTTTCTTCAAATTAGAAAGTTAGTGTTATTAAAAATTATTATCTGATAGAGTAACTTATCAGCTCAGTAGTAATTTTCTGATTATTTTTCTTTTATTATCTACATTCTGATGACTTCAGATGTCAGAAAATTTCTTCAGAGTCATGATCAGTTTATGATAAATATTTCTGAATGAAGTTGTAGTAATTGTAGTAGAGAGATAACTTTTCAGTAATCTATAATACAATCTGTTGATAATTATTTCATAGTTCATCTCAGTGTTTGTGTTGAGTTTTTCATAAATTTTATAATCTGAAATCAGATATGAAGAATGAAGTAGTTATTCATCATAATTGAAAGAGAGCATTCTATATTGAATTGTAAACAATATAGACTTTGTAATTCACAGTGATTTCTTGAAGAGTTTGTGAATCTTCAATAGAAGTAGAAGAAATGAAAGAAGTGAATTCAGAAGATATGATAATAATTTGAGAAAGATAATAATTTATTTTCAATAACTGATCACTGATGTGTGTAAGAAGAATTAATATAAGAGAAAATAATCTTCTTTCTTAGCTTAGTTATAATTTTAGTACTAACTCAGATTGAATATCATTAATGTCTAAAAGTAAACAAATAATCTTGATTAATCTCTGTCATATTTCTTGAAATATATTAATATTATGAAAGAGAGTATTATCAAATTACATTATCAGATAATATCATTAAAAATATATTAATATTATAAATATCAATGTTGAAAAAATATTGATACTTATACATTATAGTGACATGATAGTTGAATATATATATATATATTATTTCTAACATTGATAATTGATTACAACTTGTACAATAATTTTTGAAAACTTAAAATTAATTTCAATTATTAACTAATAGTTACAAACTTATAACTAACTAATATAAAAAGAAAAAAACTTTTTCTACTTATTATCTTTCTTCTCTTTCTCATTCTTCTCATCATTCTTCACAATTCACTTCTTATTCTTATTATTATTCTTCTTCTTCTCATCTGAGATGATAATCATCTCAAAATCTCTCTCTGCTATCTTCTCAGAGAAGAGTTCTCACTACTCTCTCTAAGTCAGATCAATCTGCATCTTAAAATCCTGTATTTTCTGATCTGCTGTCTCAGGTTCTATCTCAGCAGTAAGCAGATTAACATACTCAGAGAGCAGAGCTGTCTTCTTAATATTCTGAATTATGAAGTGCATTTGAGATCTGAATAAGATCTTAATCTTCTTCTCTATCAGCTTCTGCTAATCAATTAGAGAACAGAAGTATTATCAAAAATTGTTATCTTTCAATAAAAAACTTATCAGTTTTGACTTCTTTATCTTCTACTTTAATACCTTCTCAATCTTCTTCTGCTGCTGCTTATTTACAGTAATACTCTTCTTCTCTCTCTCTCTCTTCATCTTGATCTCAAATCATTCTCAGAACTTCTTCTAGTCTCACTGTCACTACATAAGACTCTTCACTATCTTCTTTTTCAATCTCTCACAGATGATGTTATTCATATTATTTCTATACTTAGTTCAGTCTAAATCTATTAGAAGTGTTACTTAAAATTATTATCATTCTACTTTCTTACAGAGCCTCTTCAAGGCATTATAATATGTCTTGCAATCTGTCTTCTCACACTTGAATATCTTCTTCTTCTCTCTCTTCAATCTGTGATAGTACTCACGCGTCTTGATGATCTGCAGAACTGCAGAATATTTGAAGAGAGATAATATAATTGATTTTAATGAGTATTGAAGAGAAGGTGAAGGCAGGTAATAATATAATAATAATAATGATGATGATGATGATAATGATGATAATAATAGTAATAATAATGATAATAATGATAATGATGATAAAAGAGAGAGTGCATCAGAATATATTATTGACTTATCAAATATAAAGAGATAAAGAAACTATTAACAGCTTTCAGAGATGTACAGAAACAGCTACAGTGTTGTATAGTAATATTATCTTTATTCAATACATGCACTATTAATATTCTTTGTATACATTTATCATATAATCTATATCAGAGATACATGCAGAAAACAGATCTTTATTACTAGAAAGAATGATTGCAGTGATTCTCTGTTTTCATATTATAAAGATAAGTTATTCTCATTTCTTTCTTCTCTCTTTTCTCTTCTTCTTCAACTCATCACTAAGTTCAAGCTGATATGAAAACTATTAAAACACTCATAGAAACTCTCAAATTGAAGAGTATAGACTAATCAAATTTTAAATACAGATGAATTAAATTATATTCAATAATACTAATTATTCATTTCTCTCTGAATAAAATAACAGTCATGTCTTTCTTCTCTTCTCTCAAACAAAACATGACTCATGAAAAGTGAGTATCATATCAGACTATAATGATCAACACAGCCTCAGCATGCAGAGCTGTATACACACAGAGCATGCTGAACTGAGAGACTGTGTGAGTTATAAACTGACAGCAGTATCTCAGAAAGAGTCATGCAGTGTGAGAAAGCTGCAACTCTTAATTATATACACAGAGAATGAATCACTGCAGTAAGTGTATATATATTATATAAAAGTAATGCTTTTTGATAATACTCAGTCTCTGATATCATGAAAATAGAGTCTCTCTGTGAGATTCATTTTTATCAGAAGTTGAGAAATCTTATATTTCTCAAGATCATCTTCACATGTCTTGTCTGTGAAATTGATGAAGAGAATCATTAATTCCAGTATTTTATTCTTGATACTATTCAAGTGACAGCAGAGTTTACTCTGGTCACACTTTTTAAGTGTATGTTTTCTAATTATTCATATTTATACAGATATATACTGATTATTTATTAGATAATGTTAAGACAATAACTCATTGCAGTTATATTACTCTCACTGTGAGAAATACATAGTTAGTGATAAACATTGTGAAGACTCTGAGAAGTGAGTATTTTAAGAGTGCTGCAGCCCTGCAATCTTGATTTTTTTTTATTTTTATTTTTTATTTTTTTCTTTTTCTTTTCTTTTTTTTTATTGTGATTTTTTCTTGTGTTTGTTTTATTTTTTATTTTTTGTTTTTTTTTTGTATTTTATGTTTTTTTTATAATTAAAATTATATGAATTATGATCTGTGTTTAAAAAAGTAATGATATTTGATAACACTCTCTGTTAAATTTTCAACAAATGAGCACTATGTTATAATATTATGTAAGTGAGAAATGATTTCATGATCTCATTTAATATCATTCTCAATAATGAGATCAGAATGAAAATGTAATGAAGAATTCAAACATATTCTTTATCTGAGACTAGGTTTTTATTTGAAAAGTGAATCTGAAATCTTTAATATTTAAAATAACATGATTTGAAATCAATGTAATGAACACAAACCATGATCAGAAGTAATGCTTTTAGATAATATAATAACTGTAAAGTTTGATTCTGATCTCAGACACGGTCACACGGTCAGTTTAATTATAGCAGAGAGATGACTCTTCAGTAATCTGTAATACAATCTATTAAAAATTATTTCATAGTTTATCTCAGTGTTTGTATTGAGTTTTTCACAAATTTTATAACCTGAAATCAGATGTGAAGAATGAAGTGATCATTTATTATAATTGAAAGAGAGTATTCTATATTGAATTGTAAATAACATAGACTTTGTAATTCACAGTGATTTCTTAAAGAGTTTATAAATCTTCAATAGAAGTAAAAGAAGTGAAAGAAGTGAATTCAGATGATATAATAATAATTTAAGAAAGATGATAATTTATTTTCAATAACTGATCACTGATATGTATAAGAAGAATTAATATAAGAGAAAATAATCTTCTTTCTTAACTTAGTTATAATTTTAGTACTAACTCAGATTGAATATCATCAATGTATAAAAGTAAATAAATAATCTTGATTAATCTCTGTTATATTTCTTGAAATATATTAATATTATGAAAGAGAGTGTTATCAAATTATGTTATCAGATAATATTATTAAAAATATATTAATATTATAAATATCAATGTTGAAAAAATGTTGATACTTATATATTATAGTGACATGATAGTTGAATATATATATATATATTATTTCTGACATTGATAATTGATTACAACTTGTACAATAATTTTTGAAAACTTAAAATTAATTTTAATTATTAACTAATAGTTACAAACTTATAACTAACTAATATAAAAAGAAAAAAACTTTTTCTATTTATTATCTTTCTTCTCTTTCTCATTCTTCTCATTATTCTTTACAATTCACTTCTCATTTTTATTCTTCTTCTTCTTCTTCTTATCTGAGATAATAATCATCTTAAAATCTCTCTCTACTGTCTTCTCAGAGAAGAGTTTTCACTGCTTTCTTTCAGCCAGATCAATCTGTGTCTTAAAATCCCACATTTTCTGATCTGCTGTCTCAGGTTTCATCTCAGTGATAAGTAGATTAACATACTCAGAGAGTAGAACTGTCTTCTCAATGTTCTGAATTATAAAGTGTATTTGAGATCTGAATAAGATCTCAATTTTCTTCTTCTCTGCCAGCTTCTGCTAATCAATTAGAGAACAGAAGTATTATCAAAAATTATTATCTCTTAATAAAAAACTTATCAGTTTTGACTTCTTTATCTCTTACTTTAATATCTTCTCAATCTTCTTCTGTTACTACTTATTTACAGTAATACTCTTCTTCTCTCTCTCTCTCTTTATCTTAGTCTTAAATTATTCTCAGAACTTCTTCTGATCTTACTGCTACTGTATGAGACTCTTTACTGTCTTTTTTTTTAATCTCTTATAAGCAGTGTTATCTGCATTATTTCTATACTGAGTTCAGTCTAAATCTATCAGAAGTGTTACTTAAAATTGTTATTATTTTACTCTCTTACAGAGCCTCTTCAAGATATTATAACATATCTTACAATCTGTCTCTCTGTACTTAAATATCATCTTCTTCTCTCTCTTCAATCTGTGATAATGCTCACGCGCCTTGATAGTCTGCAGAACTGCAGAATATTTGAAGAGAGATGATATGATTAATTTTAATAAGTATTGAGAAGAGAGATGAAGGCAGAGAAGATAGCTAGTAATAATATAATAGTAATAATGATAATGATGATAATAATAATGATGATGATAATGATAATAATGATAGTGATAATGATGATGATGAAAGAGAAAGTGTATCAGAATATATTATTAACTTATCAAATATAAAGAGATAAAGAAACTATTAACAGCTTTCAGAGATGTACAGAAACAGCTACAGTGTTGCATAGTAACATTATCTTCATTCAATGCATGCACTATTAATATTCTTTGTATACATTTATCATATAATCTATATCAGATATACATGCAGAAAACAGATCTTTGTTACTAGAAAGAATGATTACAGTGATTCTCTGTTTTCATATTATAAAGATAAGTTATTCTCATTTCTTTCTTCTTTCTTTTCTCTTCTTCTTCAACTCATCACTAAGTTCAAGCTAATATGAAAACTATTAAAACACTCTTAGAAATCCTCAAATTGAAGAGTATAGACTAATCAAATTTTAAATACAGATGAATTAAATTATATTTAATAATACTAATTATTCATTCTTCTCTCAATAAAATAACAGTTATGTCTTTCCCTCTGTCTTAAATGAAACATGACCTGTGAAAAGTGAGTATCATGCCAGATTATAATGATCAACACAGCCCCAGCATGCAGAGCTGTATACACACAGTGTGTGCTGAACTGAAAGACTGCATGAGTTACAAACTGACAGCAGTATTTCAGAGAGTGTAAGAAATCCCGCTTCTCGCGGATTCTTTATCTCTATTTCTATCTCTCATGTAATCAATAGAGCTAGCGGCCCTTGACTACACACAACTATATAGACTGAAGTTTGTGAAAACTATTCACAACTTAGCTTGAATACAATTATATATTTAATTTCTACATTTTATCTTTCTACTGTGAATACTTCTAGTAGTTAACAGTATATATCATGTCAAGCTGCAAACACCTGAATAATTGTCTGTGAGCACTTATTCTTACATTTCAAGCTCAGTCAGTCAGCAATCATCTGTTATAACTGAAAGATTTAGAAACTTGTATACTTCAATCTCTGTGAACTCTACTGCAGACACTCAGAAGCAGTCATCTGAATCACAGATAATCTTTATAAAAGAAGTTTCAGAGAACTTATTAATTACTTACAGAACATCATTCTCTGCATCTGTGATAGAGAAACTCTCTGAACTTATGAATAAATTAATCTCAGTGAAGAACATTCTTGAGCATCTCTCACAGAATTAAGCTATTTTTCTATAAGAAATACTTACTATCTGTAAACACTCTTGAACTGAGTCTCTAGATATAATCTTCAGAGATACTTATGAACTGAAAAGAAACTTTCTTAAGTTATAATTACTTAAGATTACTTATTGAATCACAATCTATAAAAGCTTTTACAAGTTTATATTTAAAATTGACTCACAAGCTCAGCTGTGTAATATGAAAGATGAAGAAGCTATTATCTATATAATGACAGATCTCTATTACACTGAAGTTAAGAACTGACTGAATTATTTAGAGAATGATTACAAGAGATCTCACTAATCTGTTCTTAAGATCTATTTAGAGAATAAGTTAATAGACTCTGCAAGCTGAACAGAGAACATCTGAACTATAATTATTAATATTAGAAAAAGAGATAAGAAATCTGATAAAGACTACTCACAGTACTTTATAAAATTATAATATGAATTAAGATCTGTGAAAACAGAGTTCTGAAATAAGACCTGAATAATAATATTTATAAAGAGACTGAATAAAAATATATAAAATAAGCTCATTGAGTAAGACTCTAAGTTCTTGACTCTGAAGAAACTAATAACTCTCATTCATTACTTACAGATCACTGTGAGAGTTACAGATCTGTAGAGAGTGAATTATCAATCAGTCTTATATAAGTCAGAATAACAGAGAATAGATTTATTAGAAAAAGATAATAAGACACAGAGAGATTCATATCTGACTACTAAGTAGAGAGAGAGAGCTTCACAAGCTTCTGTGAATAGAGTGTATAATAGAAAGATTAAGAAAAAGAGACTCTACTTTATCTATTCTAAATTAGAATATCTTCACACAAACTGTTCAGATAAAATAAAATAGAAATTTGAGAAGTTATAGATAGAGTCAGTAACAGTTTTCTTAAGAGTTTTAAAACTGATATCTGAATCTGTTACTTCTCTGATGAAAATACTTACTTATAGAAAGAGATCACACTGCAGTACTACTACTCTGTAAGTATGAAAAGTATTGATAAACTCAAAATCTCAGATCATTGTAATGTCTCTAAATATCACAGAGTAAATAAGCTGAAAGATAAAAACTGAGAATCTGCTCTTATAATAAGTAGAGTATGAGAACTCAGATCTGAGAGCTGAGAGACTTATAAGAGTTATCTTTGAATTACAAGATATCTCTGAAATCTGAAGAAGATTTGCAGAAACTATAATTATCACAGATATCACAGATAACATGTATTTAAGACTTATATAACTTCAAAGACATAATTTATATATAGTTATTTATAAGTCAGGTTTATACTTCTGATCAGTATTGACAGACTTATTCACAGAGATAGAATCAGTTAATACTGTAGAGTTAATTAGAGAAGATAAGTTCATCTATATAATAACTTTATAAGTATCTGAGAATCTTACAGTCATGAAAACTGAGCTTCAGATATCAGAGAAATATCAAGATCTTATAGAGATATTCAGTTCAGTAAAAGTAGCTGAGCTTTCTTCTCACTGTGAGAAGAATCTGATAATAAATTTGATAGAAGAGTAGAAACTCTTCTGAGAATCAATCTATAGACTCTCTCATTATGAGACAGAGATCTTGCAGATCTATATGAAGAAGAATCTGAAGAATGACTTTATTTAATCTTCACAGATCTTTATAAGAGTCTCTGTGATATTTGTAAAGAAGAAGAATAAAGATCTCAGATTATATATAGACTATTACAATCTGAACTTTAAGATAATAAAGAGCTGTTATCTTCTATCTCTGATTAAGAATGTAATTAACTGTCTTACAGAAGCTGTTATATTCACACAACTGAATATAATCAATATATATATACAGCTATAAATACAGTCTGAAAATGAATAAAAAACTGTCTTTAGAACTGTACTAAGATTGTTTGAATATCTAGTAATATCTTTTGATCTGACTAATACTCTCACAGTATTTCAGTCTTTTATTAATAAAATACTTTGTATATATCTGAATATCTTCATAATAATATATCTGAATAATGTGATAGTATACTTTATAAAGAAGAAAGAATACACTGAGTATATGTAAAGTATATTAAAGATCTTAGATAAGACAGATCTGTATATTAAGCTTATAAAGTATAACTTCAGTGTCTACTGAATTAATTTTCTAGAATATATAATTACTACAGATGATATTCAGATGAAATCTTTATAAGTTAAGACTATTCTATCATGACTGAAGTTAACTAGAATTCATGAGATTCAGATCTTTCTGAGCTTTGTGAATTTCTATAGACAGTTTATCTTTATATTTATAAGAATCTTCTTAACTCTTACAGACATACTGAAGAATAAAAATAAGAAGAAGTCATTTCATAAATGAAGAATGAAAAGATTATTAAGAAGAAAGAACTGTGAGAACTTTCTTATCTCAGAAACTTACAGAGTCTTTATAAGATTGAAATAGATATTTATAAATACAGTGATACTATTTTACTTTAATCTCTTACTCTTAATTAGATTAGAGACAGATGTCTTCTTCTTTACAATTTCAGAAATAGTCTTATAACTACAGTTAAATAAGAACTGAGTTTTAGTAATCTTTTTCTTATAGAAGATGTAATCTGTGAAGATCAACTATAATATTTATAATCAGAAGCTTCTTATAATAGTGAAATTCTTTCATCACTGATATTACTACTTTGAGAGTCTTATAATAGTGATTACTATTAGAACTGATTATAACAGCTTATAATAGTTTACTTCAATCAAGAAACTCTCACAGTAGCAGGTTTACTGAGCTTAGAGACTGAGTGAGTTCTGATTCAAGATAGAATATATCAAGAAAACTAAGAACTCAGCAGACAGACTCTCTCACAGATCAGACTATATTAAGAAGATCAGAGTAATAGATATAGAGAGACTAGAGAAGACAGAAAAGCTTCACAGAATACTTAGACTGAGTGTTATAAAGAGATTGACTGAAGAGTCTCTCAATCTCTTATAAAAGAAGAGAGAGAAGAGAGAAAAGAAGTCTGTATAATTACTCTCTATAACACTGAGAGTTAACACTCTGAGAATCTCTGTAAGAATTCTTGAAGAGAGTATCTATAATCTGAAGAGTTTATAAGCTTTGAGAAGCACTGCAGAAGATCTGATATAAGAGAAAACAGAGTATAAGTCTTTATAAGATTTTCTATTCAGATTGTCTGAACTGTAACTGAAGAATGAATATACTCAGTATATTTAAAAACTGCTCACAGCAGAGATTAACTCTGCAGAAATAAAGAATTAAAGAGACTTAAATAATCTCTTATAAAGAGAGAACTGAATTTATATATCTGTGAATAAGTTTCTATGTATAGAACTTATTAAAAGATATTATAACTCTTCTCTAACAGATCATTTTACAGATACTAGAACTTATGAGTTACTCATAAGAAAATACTTCTAACTAAAGATACAAGAACTTATAAAGAAGATAATGAATTCTTATACTATTTATCAGAATTTGTGAGTAGTGCAGTTGTAACGTGGTGAAACCGAAGCGGTGGCTAGTCAGCGGTGACACGTAGAGGTAGTTGTTTGAAAAGCTGTATGAGTGAGCTTAACTATCTTGCTTAAATAGTGAGCTCATAGACTACAGAGTTATTGTGAGGATATCACAGATATAATACTTAGTATACTAAGAAGATTGTATGAGGCATGCAGTAACTCTTGTGTATATTTCAGTAGCAGTAAAATGAATCACTGACTTCTTTAATGAAGAGTCAGCATCTAGCTATTCTATATAGATAATGAGTGAATACTCTTCTCTCATTTCATAAGCAAGAATAACCAGAGCAATACCTCAGTAGTGTCTCATTGTTAAGAAAGAGTAATCTACTGATCTTATATAGAAGCAGAGTTCTTATATTTATTAATCAGATCTTTCTATGATATATCTGAATAATGTTATAGAGTGATTAAAAACCAGTTCAGATGAGATGAAAACATCTGCATAAAAGTAATAAGCTGTGTGAAACTGTAACAGAGTCTTGACACAGCTGAGAGTATGACAATGTTCTTCTCTTTAAGAATATAGTCTCTATACTCTCAAGATTACTGAATTAGAAATTATCTTTGTTGTATAGCAATGATTGTCAACTGATTGATAGTATATATACTGTGTATAATATAAAGAAATAGATGAGTTTTTCTGCTAACTGTGTAGATCTTTCTTTTTTCATCATCATTTAAATCAAACATATGATAAGTGAGTTTCTTATATATCAATTTAAAATGTGAAAAATATAGTTAATAAGTGACTTACAGATCTTTTAATATATTTCATTCTACATATGAAATTCCCTGCAAAAGTGGTGTGTTTTAGAGACAAAGCTAACAGTAGTAGCAGGATTTTTTCAAAAAGATCTCTTCTTCTCATGACACATTTTTCTCCCCCCCCCCCCTCATCTGCAATAGTGAGTGCATGGGAGTATCATTCTTGAAGAACAGTAGAGGGCTTATTCTGATGTTTTCTAGTGAGTAATAAATGTCTTTATGATGCGGCGGCGGTCTCTGTGACTGCTAAGAAAGCCAGGTTGAAGGCAGAGACAGTGGTGTCAATGAGCTGCAGAAGCATCACTTCTATTATCATATCTCCTTCTTCTTCTACTTCTTTTGCAGCTGTGGTGATAGTCACTGTGCCTTGCAGTGAGATGTTGTCCCTTCTGTCAGTCAGTTTATCTATGTCCAGTTCATCCCTCACCTCTCTCACTGCCATTGCAACACCGCCCCCCCCTCCAGTCAATACAGTGATGTATGATCTCATATGATCATTCAGAGAGAAACCTGGGGAGAGCTTGGTTTCAGGGACAGTGACTCTGAGAAGCTTAATTCATAGTTTCTCTCTCATGACACACCTGAGTTCTGCTTGAAATACTGCTGAGTTGAGTCTGCAGAGTTCTGCAGTTTCTTCATCTTCTCTCTGTGAGAAGGCTCTGATATGGTCTCTGACTGGCACTGCTACTTGTCTGCACTGCATTAAGCAGCTGAAGAAGAAGAGGATTTTATATATCTGTTTCTTCTCTCACTTCTGTTATTTTCATTGCATCTGTAATAACAACTTCTGTCTTTCTGTAAGTATTACTTCACAGAAAGACATTATATCAGTTCTGATAAGAAGTCTAGATGCTCAAGCAGTACAGAGTGAGAATCTCAGAGCTTCAAGTATTGACAGATTCTATCAAGACTGAGAAGATTCTTCTTACTTATCTGTAAAAGAAGATGAAAGCATGAATCTCTGAGATGAAAAAATATCTCAGAATGACTGATCTTAAGAAGAAGTCAGTCAGTACTGTCACTGAAAGTGCTGCAGAGATCAATCACTGATTAGAGAGAATCTCACTTCAATTGAAGCAGATGACTGAGATGCTTTGTAAGTTGATAAGTTAATATTTCATACATTTCTCATACTCTTCTATAGCATGCTTCTCTGTAGTACTGCAGTGTTAACTTCTCAGCAGATAAAGATATCAGTGCTGAAGACTTCAACAGTAAAGAATAAGTTTAATGAAGATGTGATTATTGATGAGTAGACTCTGATCTCTCTTTTTACTTTTTCAGCAGACTGTGGCCTCATTAGAATAGCAGCAGCTTATGAGTTGATAATATTAATCTTTTTATTGATTTTAAATATTTCTTTTTCTTTAATCACTTCAGAAATGTTACACTTGTGTAGTCTTATTAAACTTCTAAAAACTCTTTGAGAGAAAATAGAAGAAGAGTGTTACAGAGTCTATAAGACATCAGCTCATCACTGCAAGATTATCTCTAAAAAATTCTTTAAGAAAAATGAGAAGTCTCAAGCAGCATTTCTTACTCAATATCTCTGATATGTAATAGAGCAGTCTTTACTAGCTGTCTCATAGATTGCAATCTCTTTCTCAGCATTTTTCAAATACTTAAGCAGTTTTCATGAATTCTCTGACAATGAATAATCTTTCTATTTAACAAGATATTAAAGCTTGCTGTAATGTGTTTACTTGTTCAATATTTTCTTTATAAGATATTTGATATCACTCTCAATCTTGATATCATTCAGCTGAGGTGACTCTGTCTCAGAGTATTGCTTATAAAACTTCAAATAGAAAATATGAAAAACAGAATAAATTGATTTCAATTCTGTGAATAATTTTAACTCATATATCTGCTTACTTATCACTCTTATTACTGAGAAAGATTCTAGTCATCACTCACTGAGCTTTTTATACAGTCTTATTGTCTTGATATTCTTTACTGAAAGTAGCATTTAATTCTCTATCAAGAACTTCATCAGAAGATGTTTTCAATTGTAGTATTTCATCTACTACTTCTGAGCACAGTGAATACTTTTCACTGTCTTCTCATGAATTTTATTCAAAAGTTTCAATCTCACTTTTACTTCTGACACTGAGAAATACTCTGTTCTCTGTATCTGTCTGACATTCTGACTGTCTATTCTTCTCTTTGAAATGTCATCCACAACATCACTGAGTAATGAAGGATTATATTTATAATAAGCATAGAAAGAAGATATCTTTAAGATTACATTCTTTGTATTATTATATATGAATTCAGTAATCAGAAGATGTTTGAGTCAATCATTCTGATAATATGAATAGAACACTTGAAGATGCTGTTCTAGTGTCTGATTCTGATGTTCAGTCTGGCCATCAGTCTGCAGATGAAAAGCAGTACTGAGAAGATATCTTATTATAAGATGATAGTAAAAAGTCAATCAGTACTTGCTGATGAAGAGAAATTCTCAATCTGTTATCAACAATTTCAGAGCACTGTGATTATAAATAATGATATCTAAAAACAGATCAGTCAATTCAGAGGCTTTAATCTTTTTATGAGTAGAAATATATCTGATCATCTTCATGAAGTGATTAATAATGATCAAAATTAAGTCATATTCTTTGACTCTTGTTAACTTCAGCAGATTAACTATGAAATCTATTAATAGATTCTGCTATGAGCTCTTTGAAACAGGCAGTGATATCAACTCACTGTATTACTTATACTGTGAGATCTTTATTCTTTGACAGATATTGTAAGTCTCAATATACTCTTTGATATCTATTCAGAGCTTGTTCTAAGTATATTTATATTTTAGAAGCTTCTCAGTCTTCTCTAACCTGAAGTGTTCTGTATAAGAATTATTATGATGAATTCTTAATAACTTCTAATGCATCACTCTGCTACAAGGAATGAAGACTGAATTATTCAGCAGTAGAAGTTCACATTCTCTTAGTTATCAGTAACTTGGTTTCTTAGCAGCATCATCTCACTCAGAGTCTGTCTCTTTTAAGTTCAAACTGAATTCTTTCTTCTTCAACTTCTGAATTCAAGCTGCAGTAGAGATGTTCCTCTTCTGTAACTTATCAATGAATTTCAAAAGTAGTCAGATTGAAAGATTGTAGACTGTTTCATTCTTTATCAATTTAATGATTGTAAGATATAATACAAGAAGCTCATGATCTTCAGTATCAGTTCTCTGCAGAGACCTGAATTCTCTTTCATCTTCTATACTGAGTTGCACAGCTGTCTCTTCAGCACTGTTTCTGAGCTTTAGAGAATCTCAATTCTCTGCAGCCAGCTTCTTCTGCAGTGATGGCAGAGATTCTTTTATAGAATCCTTCTTCATATCAACAATATTATAATCAGGCTGCCTAGACAGCATGTCAGTGAGGTTAAGCTGACTGAGACAGTATTGAATATAGAAATTATACTCTGAAAGCAGCTCTGCTCATCTGGCTTGATATTCTGTCAAGCTCTTTGTTATCAAGAAGTAATGCAGATTTGCATGATCAGTGAGAACTTGCACTGAGTATCTACTACTCTGAAGATAATGTCATCAGATCTTAAAGAATTTGATAATTACTAACATCTTCTGATCATGAGTATCATACCTTCTCTATATAAGTGATAACTTCTTGAAGAAGAAGGTCACTGATCTTCATTCACAGTGTCTTGTAGACTCTGTGAAAAAGTCTTCTCTTACAGACAATTCATTGTCTGTTTTCTCAGAAGTGATTATCTTCTAATTCTTTCAATGTTGAAAGATCTCTGATGTCAACTGTGAAAAGATTTCACAGATCTCATTCTCAGATACATCAGTCTCACACTGACTGAGTAAGTCAGAATTAAAGTGATTCAGTATTGTAACATCTGTGAAAGCTTATTTCAATTCTGCAAATGCCTGTGCAGTGTCTTGAGTGAGAATAAACAGTTTCATTTTCCTGTCTTTCATACTTCTCTTCAACAGATCTGTAAGAAGGGCAGTAATCTGTGAATATGTATAGATGAATCATCTGTAGAAATTTGCAAATTCTAGAAATATCTGCATCTCACAGTATGTCCGCAGCATCAGTTCATTCTCAATGATGAAGACCCAGCTTCTGTTCATTGAAATGTCATTCATCTCAACAATATAATCTAAGAAATCAATCTTCTGCATGTAGAATGAGCATTTTTCAGTGTTTATATAGAGTTGATACTGTCTCAAGTGACTCAACACTTCTTAAACATGAATATCATGTTCTTTCTCTGATTTTGAGAAGATTAAAATGTTGTCCAGGTATACTATACAGGAGATATTGACAAGGCCTCACAGTGCCTCATTTATATAGGCCTGAAAGATGGCTGAAGCATTACAAAGATCAAAAGATAAAACAAGATATTTAAAATTGCTGTACTTGATATAAAAAGTCATTTTTCAAACATTGTCTTTATTAACTCTGATTCTATGATAGACATCTCATATATCAATCTTCAAGAACATCTTTGCTTCAGATAATTAATCAATCATCTCATCAATTAACAGTAGTAAATAGTGATTCTTAACTATCATCTTATTGAGGCCTCTGTAGTCTATACATAGACATAGTCTATCATTCTTCTTGAGCACAAAGAGTATAGATGTCTCTGCTGAACTCTTTAATGAATGTATTCAGTTCTTTGATTGTGCTTCTTCAAGATATTTACATAGAATATTCAACTTCTTTACAGACAAGTTGTAAAGAGATCTGTACAGTGCTGTTGCATCATCTTCAAGATAAATCTTATATCACATCTTGATATCAGGAAACTTCACTGCTTCTCTTTTCAAAAAGACATTCTTAAAATCTGTAAAGAGATGTCATGTACATCTGTCTTCAATAATGAATACTGCTATCAATCTTGCAGTGAGAATGATGACTTCTTCATCTGTTCTTAAGTCTCAATCACCTGCTATACAGTATATTAACTCAATCTTTTTCTCAAGATTTTTCTGATGAAACTCTTCAGATTTCTCTATTACTGTCTCTTCATCAGTGAGGCAGTATCATCATGTCTGAGTGACTCAGTCAATGAGAGAATTGTTTTCTCTTAATCACAGAAGATCTAGAATGATATTCTCATCTATGATGTTAACTGTATGAAGAAGCAGACTGCTTTTCTTGAAGATTTCTTCTGAGTCTGTGATCACACACTTTGCTTAAATTATGTCAAAACAGTGGCATTTCATTTCATCTGTAAATTTCATATGATCTGACAGATCTATCTTCTTTCAATTCTTCATTAAAGAAAAGAAATAGAATATGAAGTTAATATTCATCTCAGAGTTGAGTAGGCATCTCACTGATATCTTCTTATTCAGAGTATGCATTGTGATTATAACATAAACTCAGAGATGTGAGAATTGTCAATTCTTCATTTCTTTCTCTTTGTTATCTTCTGTGAATACATTTGTCAGAA